CCTCCCTCCCTGTCTTCCCCCATTCCCTTTTGTGTGTATGAGTGTTTGTGCGTATGTATTTATTTTATTTTATTTGGTATTGGAGATTTAACCCAGGGATACTTTACTACTGAGCCACATCCCCTAGTGCTTTTTATTTTTCATTTTGAGACAGAGTCTCACTAAGTTGCTAAGGCTGGCCTTGAACTTGCAATCCTCCTGCTCAGGCTCCTGAGTTACTGGGATTACAGGTGTGTGCCAGTGTGCCCAGCTCTGTGTGTATATATTTTTTACTTATGCTCCAACTATATAAAAAAAATTACCCTGTGTGTGACTTTTGTTATGTGTATGTGAGAGGACTAATAAGACCATCCCTCAGATCTATTTTACCCATTGTATTGCTTCTAATCCATTTGAGCTTCTGTTAATCAATATCTTCTTTACTTCTCATCAGTAAAACTATGGAAGTGGGTCACCAATTCCCAACTTTCCTCCTTTTCAGTCTCTATTCAACTTCTATAATGTAGTCTTCCTCCTAGAATAGCAATGTTATCTTTTGTTTGTTTTTCTTGTCTCCTGTTTCTTTCTAATCTAAAACTTTTCAGAACTTTTAACCTCGTTAGCGAGTCATGAAATGAAGGTAGTGAGTTACTGGCAGCATTTAATAAATAAATAAAAAGTATTAAGAATATTGCGTATCTTTACTAAAAATTATTTCTTAAACTCTTGTCTCTGTAAACATATATGAGAGTACTGACTTGAATGGGTTCGTAGACTGCTTTAATTAGTTATCTTAAAGTCCTTTGTTAAGGTTCTCATTGTGCATCAGGATAAATATTAAACTACTCAGTACATAAGACTTTAAACATCTGGCCACTATTCTGCTCTAAAATAAACCATCACCATTGCAAGCATTTTGCCAGCCACATATATCTACTTAAAGTTCTGCTATGATATCTTAATGCCTACTGCTGTTTCTGTCTACATTGATTTTTCACCATCTCTTCAGCTTGGAGGCAAATTCCTTTTTTTTTTTTTTTCAAATTCCATTTGAAAATGACCTTAGTGAAAGGTCATTAAGTTCCAGGCTATTAAGCGAAAAAACAAAACACTGAACACTTCATTCATAATTGACATGCAACACAGCTACAATAAGTTGCCATATTTACAATATTGCAGAGATTGAAACATGGTATACTATGTTAGCAAGGTGAGAGGAGAGGGTACTGGTGGAAGCATAAGTGACAATTGAGCAGATTCTTTCAACTAAAAGTTGTTCTTTTGTTCAGCAGTTCTACCTCTTGATAGAATATTTTTTACAGATACCCATGTAGGAAGAAATGTATGTGCTAGTAGCATTATTACTATTAGCTACAGGAGAATAGTTTTATAAATTATGGTACATCCTTTCCCTGGAATATTCTCCAGTAATTTAAACATGAATGAGAAATCTCCTAATATGTTGTTATAGTAAGAATACTAGGGAGTATTATGAAATGTCAAATTCAAGGATAAAAGCACATATCATTTGTTTATTTTTTAAAATTATATTTGTGTATGAAATCTTTCAGTAAGGGTATAGTCAAAATTAATATTGTTAACCTGGCACACTGGTACATGCTTGTAATCCCAACAGCTCCAGAGGCTGAGGCAAGCGGATTGCAAGTTCAAATTGCAAGTTCAACTTAGCGAGACCCTAAGCAACTCAGTGAGACACCCTGTTCCTAATTAAATATAAAAAAGGGCTTGGGGTATGACTCAGTGGTTAAGTGCCCTTGGGTTCAATCCCCAGTACCAAATAAAAATAATAATAATATTGTTATGGAGCTGGGGGAAACTGGTTAATGTTTAGCTGTGGGAGAGTGACTTCCCTTTATTTTTTAAATTTTTGTGAATAAGTAATTATATGTAAATAAATCAACAAAAAATTTAAAAATCTGCTTCAAATGTAATTTTCTTCCTGCCTCTCCCCCCAAACATACAACTCCTTTCAATTTGATTTTGAGTATTTAAATTCTGTACTCCCAATGCATCTCCATTACAGAATCTGTGAAGGCTGATTATTATTTTTCATTATTTTTGTCCTCCATTAGAAGCTCCTTGAATATAGATGGTTTATTGTTGTTGTTTTATTTTTAAGTGTCCTGGTGGGACTTGGCATATATAGAGAATCATGTTTGTTGAAAAAAAAAAATGTGCATCTACTTCCCTCTTTACACAGATTCCCAAGCATTTACAATTTTATGTTATTCAGGTATTTAATTGTGTTTTCTAATAAGGATATTTTTTATTATGTTCCAGTATTATTTCTGCCTCTCCTAATAAAATTTCTGATAACATATTAGTGGAGATATTTCTTTAATAAAAATAATGGGCATGGCTTTAATTTTGGTCTTCAGACAGGTGTCAGGCAGTAATATAAGAATTTTATAGGAGAGTTAGTAATATTAACTGTCACTACAATCTTTTTTAGATGAAAAGAATCCCTTCTCACGCTCAGTATTTTAGAAAGTAAGGCAAGGTTACACTACACTAGATTTCATGAATTGTGAAGTATTGAATGTTCTCCTGTGTTTGGAAGACTGTGCTATGTGCAATTTATAGATCCATTCTTTGTGAATGGGTCTAAATGAAATAAAGGTCAAATTCAATGTGCAGTTAGAGAAATACTGACATAATAAATGCAACTCTTTATATTGTATTAAAAATTGTTTTCTAATCTTGTTGATGATTGGAATATCTGCTTTCTACTGCTGTAATAGACTCAATCCCTTGGAATATATACTTTATTTTGTTTTGTTCTTTAGAGTGAGATTGTCTTTTTTTCTTCACAGTTTCTCATGGTAGGTCATAAAGATTTATAAAAGCTTTCATATACCAGTTCCTTAACTACAAGGCAGCAAAACATTATATTTATAATATAAGTTTGTTTGATTCCAGTATATTTTTAAAACACATTTAGCCTGAGAAAACATCATATGACACCTGAAGATAATTCCAGTAGTAATCAGTTTTACATACAAATTGATCTGTTAGTTTTTGATCTTCCATTGAAAAAAAACATGGACTTGTCTGTGAAATTTTCACTTACAAGTGATACTAACAAGAAGTAATCAATCTTATTAAACCATAAGACTTAGAGTTGGTAGGAATTAATAAAAAGCCACACTATTATGACAACAACACAAGGTCCTCTTTTTCTGAGTGGTTTCTGAAAATTAACTTTTTTATTTGTCCTAGTTGATTTATTGAGGGCAAAGGAAATTTGAACTCTGAAAAGAAACACATTGAAATTTTTCATTAAATTTCATGGTATAAAGCTTTGATCATATTTGTAATTTCTAGGTTTTAATGATTATCTAATTCACTATAATCTCTTTAGACTTTTAATACAGGCAGGCTATGATGTTAATATTAAAGATTATGATGGCTGGACACCTCTTCATGCTGCAGCTCACTGGGGTAAAGAAGAAGCATGTCGAATTTTAGTGGACAATCTGTGTGATATGGAGATGGTCAACAAAGTGGTAGGCCTTTTAAATGTATTTTAACTATAGAAGTAAAATTTTACTCTCAAAATGTTGTAAGACTGTAAAGTATATAATCATATTTTTACCATCTATATTACAGAATATTTTGCCCAACATTAGATTTATTAGTTAATGGTTTCAGTCTCCCAAATGAGGTGGTTCTGGCCTTGTTCTGTAAAGAAAGAAGGAAAACATATTATCATACATTTAGAGAACATTTGAGTACTTACATTAATTTTTAAAAATTATTAAGAATTGATAAATTAAGAAAATATTTTGCATTTCCTTATAAATGTTTTCTTTCATCACTGAGTTGGAACATGTATAAAAGATGTTTCTAATTCTCTTTAGCTGGTAGTCTCAATAGCCTGCTTATAGTGATTAAATGGTATGAATAGTGAAGTGAGAATAGTAAAAACCATAAAATTTTATTTCAGATAAGATTATTGTGATGCAATATTACAGATGAGAAAACGATTCAGTGAGGTAAATGATTTACTTAATATCATACAATTAGATGAAAAGAGGAAGCAAATATCATACAAATTATTTTTCACAAAATCATGAAAAAATTCACGTTACCAAATTCCTTGTTAGATTAGATTTTTACACTCTACCCCCTTTCAATACTATCAGTCAGTTTACCAATGTAACCAGTATTCTTGCTAGTCTCCACCCACTCCTTCTTGGTAGATAATTATCACTTAGCAACAGTAGGAGAGCTCAAAACATGTGTCCTGTAGTGAGCTTATAGCCATAATTTCATAAAATATTTCTTATATATTGCCTTTCATAGGGTAATATAGTGAAGTACTTACCAGAGGTGCATGAAATGTCCTCATCTTTATTCAAACCTGAGCCACCTAATTCTGTTGTGTCCCTTAACCCATTAGGTCCCAAGTCTTCAATTCTGTGAATATTTGAATGAAATTGCCACAGATGCATTAAAATAGGTTGGGAATCTAGAGCTTATATATATTAATTATTATTATTATTATCAATTAATTTTATATTAATTACATACTTTTATTTTACCTTGTTATATAATCATAAGTTTTTCAGGTGTTTCACATCTGGGATAATGGGACAAAATGAGTTTATAATGGTGCAGGTGCTGGTTGCTCAGGCAACTGCAGTTTCTAATGGGGAACCTGCAGTAGAAAGAGAATGTGACATACCACATGCCTAAGATTTGTCCATAGGTAAATCATTGGAGATTGAGCTAGTAAGGAGGATTCCTGTCCTAGTTTCCAATAAAGAAGCCCTTGAAATTACTTTGCTACGTATTTTATGTAAGAAATGTGCAGGTAAGAAAATCATAGAAAGTAGTGAAAATCTTCAGGAGAGTCGAGGTAAAAATTTTTGAGAATGATTCATCTGAAAGTATATATTTGTACTTACATATAAATATATTTGATCTGGAATTTTGAGTCAAAACTTTAAATAATTTGCTTTCTCTCATTTCTGTTATAATGGTTTTCTGTTTTGTGATCAGTGTTAGAAGACAAAGAAATGTTGATACAGTTAACTAAAAAGATGGCAATTTTAACTTTATAATTCATGTTTCTTTTTTTTCCACATTGAACTTTTCCTTAGAGTTAAGATTTATCTGAAGAAATTATTGGATACCTGTTACCCTTTGAACTCTGGTCTGCATTCTTTTCTCTCTCTCAGTGACCATTTGTTAATGCAATACTGAGAATTGCTTCATTTAATAATAATTATGGCTTCCAGATAAGACTAGAAAAGAGATAGATAGTAATTGAAGTGGTTTTCCAAAAAGATATTACTTCCTTTTTTTTTCCTAGCTGAATTAGTATTCTAGTGAAACATACACAATATACAGTATGTATGAGAAAAAATTGCTTTTCCGTCCAGTCTGCAATTGTCTCTTTCCTAGGTACAATTCATAACTATACACTAGGAGGAAAAAAAATTCACTTAAATTTTTTTAATCCTTTTGTTTCTATATTACTATGATAGCAGCTCCTTATGTCACCCTAAATTTAATCTATTTTTTCATTCATCATTTCAGTGGATCTTTATATGATCTTGAGATAATCGTGACTTTTCTTAGAATTTTATAACATTCAAACTCTTCACATATATTATCTAATGTTATCCTTTTAACAACCCTATAAAGTTGTTAAAGAGTTTTGCAGATTCAGGAATATCATTTTAATAAAACTAATTTTCCTAAATTTACTAATTGAGTAGTAGTCATATTTTTTTAATCTGCTAAGTTCCTCTCGGCTGTTTCCGTAGTTTAGTTTTCTCATATATTTTAATTTTAATCAAAATCCTTCTCTTTAAAATTAAGACTTTAAAGACATTTTAACCATGAGGAACTGAGTAATATATATATAGCATACTAAAAGTCTTTGTGCCATAAATATACCCAAATAAAACCCTTTATCTTTTTTCTTTCTCTTTTCTGAGAACTTCTGTAGCAATTTGTTTTTTGTTTCTCTTAGTTGTTTAATAATTATGTAACTTTGCCTCTGTTTTCATTTTAAATAATATGTCATACTTTATGTTTAAAGTACAGACAAATCACTTTGTATTAATTGCATTGTCTTAATTGTATAAGCCTATCTGTATGAATTTATCCTGTTATTTCATACCTTTATCAGTACTTGTAAATTCAAGATTTTTGCTTTGTTTCTTAAGCTATCAAAGAAATATACTTAAGGTACTATCAGAATTTAGATTGATTCATTAGTAATGGGAAACATGATTTGGAGAAATAATATACAGAAAATGCAACAAATTCTATAGAAAATCTTGACAGTACATGCAAGCAGGGAGAATGTTCTAAAAATAAATATTAGAGATTTGTCTCAAACTTTTACTTATTTACAAACTGAAACACATTTGCTGTCATTTTAATTCATTATAAATTCAGTGATACTGATTTTAAATATAAAGAGATTTCCATTTTGCATTTTTCACTTCTTAAAATGATTGTTTTACCAGAATGTACCTAAATATTTCTTCCTTCTTAAGTATTAACTAGGATGCTTTGCTAGTTAGGATTTATCCTAATGTATTAGTACAATGATTAGCAGGCATGTTTTTTAGCTTGATACCTGTAATTGTAAAGATTTGAATGAGTAACAGAGTTGTTTCTGCTACTGAGCACAGGTCTTTTTTTTTTAATTAAAACCCTAATTATATTGAGCTTCTTATTTTCTATAAAGATAAAATGGCATACTAGAGCACTGAAGGTCTAGATTCTGTTCCCACTTTCCCTTCATTACCTTTATAACCTTTGGCAAATATTCACTTGGAGATTGAGTTTCCTCATCTGTTCAATAAGAATCATAATTATCCTTGTCCCAACTAGTTCACCTGTGGTTGTGAATATAAAAAGAGATCATGTCTGCAAAGGCAACTCATTTAGAATAAATGAATAAAGAAAAAGAGACTATGAAATTAGACTTAATGACTCTAGTGTGTCTATGGCTTTAGTAATTCATAGTTTTTTTAATATTTATTTATTAGTTTTAGGTGGACACAATATCTTTATTTTGTTTTTATATGGAACTGAGAATCAAACCCAGTGCCTCACGCATGCTAGGCAAGCGCGCTGCCACTTGAGACACATCCCCAGCCCCATAGTGTATTTTTTTAAGCTGCCTGTTTTCTTTTTTTTTTCCTTAAAGATTCATTGATATGATTAATTTATTATTTTCTCATACCTCAGCATCATGTCCTCAGTTGTTTTCTGGTGCCTTTGAGTGACTCTCCTTACATAAAACTGTATACTGTGTTTGTACTCCATTAGTGAAGCCTGGTAGACGCCTAGTAGTTAAGAATCAAATACTGTTGATAATTTGTTAGCTCTGTAACCATCCTATAGATTGTTTAAAAAGCATGGTTAAGTTATTGAATTAAGTTGATGGGTATGCTTTTTAAAATAAGAAAATTTTGGTTATAGCCCATATTTTACTCTAGCTTTTATTCTTTATCAGTTGCTATTTGCATAGTAGACTCATTTATCATGGGAGAAAGTGAAAAGAAAGGTTTAGTAAGGTGACCTGATTTCTTATTCTTAATAAGGATAACCCCATTGTATTTAACTGCTACAAAATTTAAAAGTATTTTTCAAGGTGAGGTATTTCGTTTAGGAGAACTGATAAATGCTTAAAACAATACTTTAAAAGTCAGTGAGTTACTTCCACATAACAACATGACCTTGAATACAATTTGCTTTAAAAGTATAGTACTTGTAACATATTAGGACTCATTATACAAACAATATCATGTAGCAAAAAAAAAAAAAAAAACACGAATTGCCAGTCTAAAGGGCACCTTATAATATTGAGCCAGTTATTTTCATAGCAGTTTTTCTTCAGAAACTTAATTATTGGCTTTTAATACTGAAAGTTGAAATGGGAGGAAAGTTTATTAAAGCTAAAGCTTTTTTCTCATGGACTGGACAGAGATAGTTAGATTGCCTCTTATTAAATTCCTATTGGAGAATCTTTCTAGCAGGGAAAGTCAACAGTTCTTTGAAAAATTTTTCCCACAATGAATAAAAATAGATTTTAAAACTAAGAAAGATCTATGACTGGCTGGCCAAACATTAAGTAGTTTAGAAATACATATAATTTCTCTACCAAAATTTAAGTTTTAGGAAGGTATCAAAAAGAAAAAAGGTCTCAGAAGGTTAAACCTGAGGTCTCATTTGTTGCGTTACTCTATTCCTATCAGTACAGCCAAGAAAGTGAAAACATGTCCACATAAAAACTTGTACATCACTGTTTGTAGCAGCATTATTTATTTTAAGTAAAATACAAATGTCTAACCAATGATTAAATTAGCAAAATGTGTACATCATGCAGTGAATTTTTATTTTTCAATAAGAAATAGTGAAGTAGGTGCTGGGGTTATGGCTCAGCTGTAGAGCACTTGCCTAGCACAAATGAGGCCTTGGGTTTGATACTCAGCACCACATAATAAAAATTTAAAAAAATGTATTGTGTCCAACTACAACTAAAAAAATAAATATTAAAAAAAAAAGTGAAGTAGCTATGTGTTGTGGCATACACCTATAATCCCAGTGACTCAACAGGCTGTGCAGGAGGATCACAAGTTCACTTGGTAATTTAGCAAGACCCTGTCTCAAAAAGGAATTTTAAAAAGGAGTTGATGTAGTGATAATACACCATAAGATGGATGAACTTTGAAAACATGAAAAAGTGAAGAAGCCTTTTACAAAGACGATTCCATTTATATGAAATAGCAACATAAGTAATATGTAGAGACAAAGAAGATTAGTGGTTGGGGGAGTCATGAAAATATTCCAAAATTTATTATGGTGATGGTTATACGACTCTGTGAATATACTTAAACAACACTGAATCATACACTTTAAATGAGTGATGTGTATGTTGTATCTCAATAAAGCTATTTAAAAAAGAATAAGGTATTGTCAATAGCTTCTCACATGGATTTCTCATATCTCCTTTGAATTATATTTATCATGTCATTTGTAACTACTGAAACATGTTTCTTAACTTCTTTCTGTATGGTTATAATTAATTTTTGAAGATGTTATATGATTTTATTGATTTTTAACCATCACTAACCCTCTCCCCTATTTTCTGCCTAGGGCCAGACAGCCTTTGATGTAGCAGATGAAGACATTTTAGGATATTTAGAAGAGTTACAAAAGAAACAAAATCTGGTATGTATCATGACTGCCTAAAAACTGCCTGTGTTAATAAGTTATCTTAATAGCTTCAAATTTCAAACAGTTAAAAATTGTTCTTGTGGTGTTTTCTATGTTTTGATTTTAAGTTATTCCTAGCAGTCAAACTAAATGGCAGTGAAAGAATAAAGGGATAGTGATGATATTTTAGCCTTTTGTGTTATTTATTATTTCTATTTCCTTCCTTCCCTTCACAAAACGAATATTTAAATAATCTGTATATTCTCAAGAATAATGTGTTTTGTAATTTCATAAGAAAGTTTTCTTATATTGTAAAATTTCAGTTTTCAAGTGGGCCTTAGAAGACCAGTTGCATCATCAGAAAACAGATTTTTAAGTAAAATGCCATTAGCTATCCCAAGTGGTTAGTAGACCTTGACTTTTTCAGTAAACTGAAGTTGGAGGGATCTAAAAAATTCAACTTCATCCTGCTTAGAGCTGTTTAATTCTCTAGTCTTTTTCATTCTTTCTTTATTCAAGCCCTCTCCACTGTAGGTAACACTTAAACTTTTGATTTACTTGTTTGGGTTTGTTTGTTTGTTTACTGTTTTTTAAATTGCTATGTTAATATTTTAAAATCTGTGTTTTACTAATTAAAATGATTTTAATAGTATTCATTTTTTCCTTTGAATAATTTTGTATAAAGCTCCATAGTGAAAAACGGGATAAGAAATCTCCACTAATAGAATCAACAGCAAATATGGAAAACAATCAGTCACAGAAGACTTTTAAAAAGTAAGTAAATTATTAAAAGCATATTTTTTTATTGTTACGAATGAGTTAGCATAATGGCCACAAACATAATTATTGTGGGTCTGAGGAAAACTAGTATTTTAACCTTTTGTGTTCATAATGATTTGAGGACTATTTTCCTTTCACAGCAAAGAGACTTTGATTATTGAGCCAGAGAAAAATGCATCCCGTATTGAATCTCTGGAACAGGAAAAGGTTGATGAAGAAGAAGAAGGAAAGAAAGATGAATCTAGTTGTTCCAGTGAAGAAGATGAAGAAGATGACTCAGAATCTGAAGCTGAAACAGGTAAAATTTGAAGGATAAATGAATTTTTTAAAAATTTTGTTGCATTATAAAGTGAGACAAAATAGATTTCCCTGCCAAGCCAGTAAATTATCTTTCAGCATTAGAAAATTATGTATACTAGTGAGTTTATTGTTTATTCTCTTAATTATTTGGAGACTCTTGTTCACCTCTTCAATTTACTGACCTGTATTTTAGATTTGTAGAAAGTGCAGAGGCTTCTCAGATTCCCCTAGAATGGTACAGATAGTGAGTACAAAGGGGTCCTCAGCAATTCAAGAATGTACCTGCTGCTTTCTGAAACCTATAAACCCAGGAAGCTAGTCCCAGCAGTATCCCAAATTCTCATGGTAGAAAGGGACTGAATTAAGATACTTTCCCATGAGGACATGGGAAAATTTGCTTTGAGAAATTTTAAAGATAGCTATAGGCGTGTAGTTATATTTATATTTCTTTTAATAAAATTAAAACTTTATAGTTGTCTTTTTTTAACCACCTACCTAAGTCTGCTTCCCTTTTCTTCCTTCCCAAAGGCATCCATTACCATGAGTTTTTCCTATAATCCTCAAGTCCATGTTTATGCTCTTATATATGCTCATAATTACTATACATAGGAACTATAATATTATTTGTGCTTGTTTTCATACTGTAGGAATTGTGATGCCTCTTGATTTTCTTTTCATCAAGTGTTAAGATGTGTCCATAAATCTTTATCTATAACTTCTTATATATAATTTATTCCTTTAGCTGTTGAATGATACTCCATGAAATATATTCATTTTCTTTCTGGTGAACATTAACTTTATTCTGTTTTTTGTTTCAAATAATGCTATATGGGCTGGGGTTGTGGCTCAGCGGTAGAGCACTCGCCTAGCACATGCGAGGCCCTGGGTTCGATCCTGAGCACCACATAAAAATAAATAAAATAAAGGTATTAAAAATAGTTTTCACCAGCTTTATTTTTTTAAAAAAATAATGCTTTAGTGATCATGCTTCCCATGTATATTTGCATAAGATTTTCTAATAGACTTAGAAATTGAACTGTTTGGTCATAGAATATATACATTTTCAGTTTTCGTAGATGCTCCCAAATTGTTTTATAAAACTACTAGAATAATTTATATTTCTTTCCTTTTTACTATTAAGTATATGGTTTCTTTTTCCTTGACCCACTTGTTTTTACAGTTTTGTTTGCCAGATTCCTTTATTTACATTTTTTTTCTCAATCTGTATCATCAGTTAATTGCTCAAAACTTCTGAATGGTGTGATAACAATGTTTTCATCTTTGAATTACATAATGTGGCATTTAACATAAATTAATCAAAAGAAAACATTCCCCTTCGGGGGATATAGATACTTTTATTTTTTTGGTGCCAGGGATTGAACTCATGGGGACTTAAACCCTAAACCACATCCCCAACTCTTTTTTGTATTTATTTAGAGATAGAGTCTTATTGAGTTGCTTGGGGCCTTGCTAAGGTGCTGAGTCTGGCTGGAACTTTGAATCCTGCCGCAGTCTCCCAACCCCTGGGATTTTAGGCAGGCAGTACCATACCTGGCCTAATAATAAACTATAAGGGCCAGTTTGGTAGTCATTGGTAAACACAAATGAAACTCTACAATTTCTTGAAATTCCTATATTCCCTCTAGACACAACAGCAACATTTTCAAATCATTTTATTTTTAATCAGCAAAATATTTTTCCTAAGGTTTCCTAAATGTAAAACATGTACAAAAAATGCCAAAATTGTTTTTAAAGATCATGTTAGGTGGCTAGATTCTAATCACTGAGAGATTTAAATTTTTCCTCATTGCTGTCATTTTATTTGGTCACATAACAAAATATCTTTTGCCCTAGTGAGATGATCGTGTAGGGAATATTGGAAACTAGCACAATTGCTAATTACCGAATGTTGTTATATGTTTGTATAACATAGTAATTAAATATTCCTAAGTATAAAATCAAATTATATGAAAAGTAGCATGCATGGTGTTTAAGTACGTGGACTGGTTCATGTAGATAATTGTATGTGTGGATAATTTATTTAATCTCAGATTTCTTATCAGAATAATAACTACCTTCCATGGATACAATGGATGCAATCAATTGCATTTGTAATAAGGGTTAACTTTCATATAATAATTGTATAAAACTATGATCATTAAATTTGATCAATATACATAGTTATCTAATATCACTTTATTTAAATTTATACTGTTTCTTTTATTCATTTTACAAAACCTGAAAGATAAAATGATGTCATTGGCCCAGATATTTTTTCAACTATTTAATGTTATTTTTATGTACTTAGTCCCCTCTCTGAGTACTAAGTCTATAGTAAAGTATATCATTACAAATCAAACTACATGCACATGTACCCAAGGAAGTCAAGAGTAACTAACATCCAGATCTCTGAATAACTCATGGTCTTTTTTTTTTTTTTTTTTTTTTTACTGTTTATGTGGTAGAATTCAAGAATTGGAAGTCTAGTCATTTCTTCTAGCGATTTCTGATTTTTATCTTTCTCTTAATATAGGTCCTTTTAATACAATTCATTGTTCATTGTTAGACACTGAAGAGCTGTTTAAAACAAACAAAACACTTCAATCTTAGGCCAGTTTTGTCACTAACTAGTAAATCTCCTTATCTCTTTTGCTTGAAATTTTCTTGATTGTAAAATAAGAATTGGACTATATGATCTGTATGGTTCTTTAAATGTAAATAATTCTATAAATATATCAGATTACTTTGAATTTTTTCCCATTTGAAATTTAAGCGTATCAGTCACCCTCTGCTCAATTTCTCACTGAGCTAACTTTAAATGTTCCTCTAAAGCATTGTACTATGAGAATTTTGTTCTTCCTGTTGCTGCTAGTGCTGGGTTGTGCCAGGAAAATTTGACTTGTGTCTGAAGAATTAATTCATGTAATCTCTGTATGGTTTCATGTCTCTCTTTTAGTATCAACCAGGATTTATCATACTTAATTTAGCAAACTTGAGAAAGCTGACTTTTCCCTATAGACCTACAGCATGATATGACAATTTCTAAACTATTTCTTTTTTCTACTTTATGTGAGGTTATTTTCCTTGCCGTAAAGTAACTTTTGCTGACAATTTCTTTGATAAATTCTTAATCTAGCCAGTTTTTCTTTAGTGTTCGTTCTTTTATCATAAACCAGGTGAAAATAGGAACTCAGTCAAAAGTTTTCATTGCCTTCCAAATGATTTATAAACTGGACATGTAATTGAGAGAATTAAGAAATGAGTATTATGTTTTTTTTTTTAGGATGTTTTTCCTCAAGGAATTAAAATTTCCCTTCTTAGCTGAACCAAGTAGAAGAACTTAATGTTTCTAATAACATGGTAGTATACATGAGTTTATCTTACTTACTATTTCTCCTACTAGACTGTAAGTTTCATGCAGTTAAAATATTTTGTCTTTTTGTTGACTGATAGTTCTCTAGTATCAAAGATACAGTATTTTAAGTATAAAGACAATAAATACTTGTTGAATGATGTTTCTACCTGGTTAGGTGGATTATTTTCTAAGAAGATAGTATGGTGCCCATTTAAATATTTTAGAAGTAAGAAAACATGCTCTTTGGGACTTTTAAACATACTATTTTACAGGTATATAAGCTGATTATTGAGAGAACACTTTAGATTTCCTGAAATAAAGAAGAGCAATAAATTTTAGATCATCAGTGAAAATCCATTAGAAAATTACATCAGGTTCTGATTGTGCCTCTTATTCTCAAAGCTTTATTTTGTTTCTTTTTATGTTATCCTAACAATTTACTTCAGCCTACAAAGACATTTCTACAAATACCTTAAAAAGCCACTTGTAAAAAATCAGAACTAGGAAAAGACAGCCATTGAAGCCAAATTTCTATAGAATCTTGATTCTTACATTTTTTTTTAATAGATAAGACAAAACCTGTGACTTCTGTAACTACTGCCAACACTTCTAGTACACAAGCAGCTCCTGTAGCTGTTACAACACCTACTCTGTCATCAAGTCAGGCAACACCCACATCACCTATTAAAAAGGTAAGCCAAAATTGTTTTTTAAAAATACATGTTTTCTATTTAAGCACCACTTGGACTAACTCATTAAAACAGTCCTGAATTTTTAGTTGTTTTTCCTAGAAAGTATATTATACTTTTCTGGTTTTTAGTTTGAGATTTCTTCTAAACCATATTATAGTCTTTTTTAAAATCCTTTTTGCATTCAGTATTACAGTTGGTAGTTAACATATACAATTGATAGTTAAAGTAAATAGCAGGAAGATTAAAATTTTCATAATATTTAAACAAATGATCATCACAGTTTTATTTCTCATTTTTTGTAAGAATTTCAGGTTTTATATCCTTTATGTATGCTAAATATAGTATAGGTATTAATAATTTCACATGTGGGTCAGTTAGCCACAAAAAGTTTAAAGGCACAAGTCAGTGAGAGCTAGAATCTAGATTTTTTTTTAACTCTTTATAGTATTGTAAACACTAGGCATGCCACTATGGTATGACAATAAGAGCATGATCTCTGTGATCAGACATACCAGAGATCAGCACCACCTCTTGTTACGACCTTGTGTGAGTTATCTTCCTTATCTGTCATAAAACATAATAAAGAGAAGTAATGTTAATATTATAAGGATTGGTTGAGACAATGAGCTTGACTAGTGATTATGTGTTCTCCCAAAATGTTAATTTTATGTCTTCTTTTTCTCTCTGCCTCTGTTCTACACCAAAGCAGTTTTCCAATTGGAGTGTTACTCTTTTTGGAGACTTGCCTTTTCATTTCTACTCTAGAACCTGTCCTTTTAACCCAAATTAAAGAGTAGGTTTCTTTCTTGTTGCTGTTTCATTTTAACCTATTTGTGTCTTTATAAAGATTTCTCCTCATCAACTCCTCCTTATCTTTAATGAGTATACTCTCTATACAAAGAAACTTTCCCCTTACAAAACATTTAACAATTGAGTGTAGTTATAATAAAACTACATCCCTGAATGTCAGTATCTCCTAAATATGAAGGCATTTTCCTTCATTCCTACAGAGGAGATTTTAACTTTGATACAGGACTGTTATTTTAACTAATATATATACTCAGATTTTTTTCTTTTGTGCTTTTTTTTCAAATTGAGCTTTCACTCAAGGATTGCACATTGTGTTCAATTGATATATCTCTGTCTTTAAAAGTCTTACTTTGTTGCTTATCTGACAATATTTGGGCTGCATGGATTTGAGAACCTATTTCAAATACCCACTGTGTTTCTATTATGTTGTCAGTCTTATTTAGGGTGCTCAAAATATAGATCTTTTTTGTAATCATAAACTAGAAAATTTTTCTAAAAGCCTGTACTGTTAGTAATAATTCTTCTCTAAAACTTTTCCCAAGTAAAACAATAACATAAATTCATAGTGGTAGAAATGTATGGATTTCACTGGTATAGTTCAAATGTCATATATGATTGACTTTCTATATTCCAGAACTGAGGGCTTCTTGAGCCTATGTCATATGATCATAATTATGTATGCTTTAATATGAAATTCTCTAAAATTAATTTTTCTGTAGAATTTTAAAAACTGTTATAAGTAGTATTACTAAAGTTCAGTTGAACTGAAGTTTAATTTATTTCTGGAACCCCCATGTATTTCTTCAGTGAATACTAAAATTGTTCCTGCACCCTTTCGTTCTTTTGATTTATTGTCTGTTAGGACCATGGGATCATCACAAGTTCCCAGAAGCTCCAATCCTTTGAGTGTATCTGTCTCTTTTTCTCTTGATTTCTCTTGGTATTTGGTTAAACAGTCCCTCTCCTCCTATAGTCCAGTGCTTAAATAGTCTTCTTGTGTTCAGTTTTCTTTTTCTCAGACAGAACCCTAGATTTATGTCAATTAATTTTTCAGTTTATACCTGACACCCTAACTGAAAGTATATACTTGATACCTGTGTTAACTTAGTGTACCAGTATTTTTGCTATAAAAGTTCTTACTCAAAATCACTTTTGATTCTATAATCTAATTGATTTAATAACAAACACCTGCTTCTATTTACTTGCCCATTTAGAAATTCCATTTAATTCTGAATTTTAAGCATCATAATTTACTTTGAAGATCATATCATTTCAGTCTTTGTTCTTGGAGTTTTGTAACTACGTTTTATTCAAAGCAGTAAAACTTTGTACTAAAAATTTGAATTATTTTTAATGGGTGGGGGAGTCTTATCGGTATTACATGACTTCTAAAATTTGTTCTTATACTTAATGATACTCATATTCTTTTATTTACTTTTATTTAGCATTTTAGTGTTAGGGTTTTTTTCAAGATTTTACATATAACTTGAGAGACCTTAACAGATACGAATTTTTTAAATGAATTGTTAATTTGTAAATGCATCTTAAAAGATTTTGCTTTTAAGGGTTCTAATTTGTACATTTCCAGTCACTGCTCTGCTTTTAACATTAACACAAAATTATGTTAACTTTTTCAGCTTCCTCCACTAGTGCCTACTGTATGAAACTATATATTTATATGTGTGTGCTCATGGAAAGGAATAGATCACAAAAAAGGGAAGCATACAAAATATTTTAAATGCTGCTTATTTTCTATTAAGGCAGGGTAACTTTAACAACAACAACAACAAAAAAAAACAGAACTATTCACTTTAAATTATCCTTCTTTAAGTTCTTAAATGTTGAGCTAAAATTAAAGAATTATTTCTGTACCAGGCAGATAATTTGTGGAGATGTTATATATAAAACTATCAGTTTGATTTTATGCTTTAAGTTGTTAACTAACAATAAGACTATATTACTCTCTATAGTCAAAATAAGCATTATAGTTACCTTTGGAACAGATTACCTACTGTGTTGTATGGGTATATAGTCCAAAGAAGTGTAAATCATATTTTCTTTACTTGGTGGCAAAAATTCTTGGAATTTCGTGTTCTAGTTAATCAAATCCAATATTAAAAGCATAATAATAGTTTGATAAAAGACAAGTCTCTGCTGTGGGTACATGAAATACGTCAATAAAAAAGGACAAATGCAACATAATGGTATGATAGTATAAAAATTACATTTGATTTAAAGTAATGGGAACAGAACATTTGTGATAGATCTTGAATGATGAGTAGGTAGTACTTTAAGAGAGATGAGTTTGTATAAAAGGAGAGATGAAAAATAATATGAGCAAGTAGAGATAATATTTGGTAGGAAAAATGAATTATTCAGTTTGATTAGTTATAGAGTACATATATGCACAGTAAAGCAAGAAAAGTAGAGCCAAATTATGGAATATCTGATTCACTTCCATGGTTATACTTTTAGAATTTATTTGATGATAGAGTATCACAGAAAATGTGTGAACAGTGCCATGAGAAAATTATTCTTTCTTTTTTGTTTTTTTTTTGTACCAAGGATCGAACCCAGAAATGCTTAACCACTGAGCCACATCCCCAACCCTTTTTGTATTTAGAGACAGGGTCTTGCTGAATTGCTTAGGGCCTTGCTAAATTGCTCAGGCTGGCTTGAACTCAGGGTCCTCCTGCCTCAGCCTCCGGAGCTGCTGAGATTACAAGTATGCACCATTGTGCCCAGCAGAAAATTATTCTTTCATAATATTCATTCTGGCAGAGACTGATTAAGGAAAGATTTATCAGAAAATCATTGAAGTTACCCACAGTGATAAGAGTGTAAACTAGGGAAGTGGGTGTATGCTTAAAAAGGAAAGGGGATTTGGAAACTTGGCACCTAACTTATGAATGGAAGGAGATGAGAAGGAAGTCTAACATGATTGTGGGAATTGAACAAATAACATTGGTGCCTTTACTAGAAATAGAAAATTAGTTAAGAGTTGTTTTGGAAGCAAAAGTATTTGACTTCAGATATGTTCAGTTTCAAGTTCCAAATATAGTTCTAAATAGGTAGCTCTACAGGGAAATAAAATGTCAGGACTGGGAATTTAGGAGTTAGAGTGAACTGGAAAATAACAGTTAAATTTGAGAATAACCTGAATAAAAGTAATATTTAACCTGAAGAAGTAGAAAAGATTCTGCTCTCATCTCTCAGTAGTAGAAAATACAAGGCAAAATGGGAGATCTGAGATATTTAGGTTACTTATCTTGCAGTACTAGGAAAGGAACATTGCTAATAAAAAAATAAAAAATACAGGGGAGAGGGATCTAAGAAAAGGATAAGTGGTCACCACAGTAGGAAAATGAAGATATGTCTTATTATAAGACCAGGAAGAAAGTATTGATTGTTCATTATTTCAGAAAGATTTATGCACCAAGTAAAATTGTGGAAAATAATTTTAAACATAGAAACCAGTACCTAAATCCAAATTTATGTCAGACAGAATAGAGGTATATCAGTCATTACAGTGCAACAAGTGCCCATTTCGAAATAGATATTACTTCCTCAGTTGTCTCAACTCTGAAATAGCTTGGGCCAAATACTAGTAAACATTTTGTTAAATGTTAGCTTCTGTTATAACAAAGCATATGTTATCTCCTGTCTGTCTGCAGGAGAAACATTTGTTTTTGGTTTTGGTGGGGAAGATGGGTTCTCAAGCAGGGGCTGATAAACTATAACTGGTGGGCCCACTACTATATTTTTGTATAATCCACAATTAAGAATGGTTTTAACATGTAGAAGTAATTGAGGAAAAATAAAAGACTATTTTGGGCATCAAATCAGATTCTATTGTCCCTAAATAAAAATTTTTTGGAACATAGCCACACTGTTTTATTTATATATTATCTGTGGTCTGCAAAACCTAAAATGTATACTCTTGTCTCAGTACCTATGTTACTGCATAGAATATTTCTTGGTCAACAGTCCCTGGTATTTTGCACTCCTCCCCCACCAGGTGTACTTGGCCAAAGAAATACTTATTTCATTTATTAAATAGTCAGGTGCAAATAAATTAATGATGGCTTTTGTACAATGTCCAAGAGATGTCACTGTACTTCTCTCAAAACTTTAAAATATCCCACACTCTGGACTCTGCTGTGTTTTGATACAAATTGATTAATTGAAGTACTAAAGGTATCTTATAAGAATTTTGTCTGTGAAGTGAGAACTTTAACATGCTCTATTAATATGCTAACTATAGCAGTCTTTGAAAATAAATATAAAAGAAAGGTCTTAAAAAGAAAAACAATACTTTCTGCTTGTAGCAAGTAGATACTTGTGTGTTCACTTTTTTATATTTAACTGTAGTTGAACACTTAAATTATGGAACTGAAAATTGATGAAGTGAACTATTTGAAGTGAACAATGTTGCATTTTTAGGAAAAAATTGCAATTATTAGAATAAGGAGTGGAGTAATTGTTTGTACATTTAAGAAATAGTTGAAATGTTTAATGTTTGGTGAGAAAATCAAACAGTAAATTTGAAGTTGTGACATTTTAGATATTATTGAATTAAATGTTATACTTAGAAAATATCAGTTATCAGATTTTCATTTAAATTTTAACCAGAATATAAAAATGGGTAAAACAATTCTTATGCAGTAGTTTGTTCACTCAGATACTATTATATTATCTACTGTATGTGCCTTCAACTGCTTTAGAGGTTTTTTAATTGATTTCATTCAGATCATCTTTGTGCTAAAACCAGAATTTATTCCCAGTGATTTTTCAAAAATTGGGTCATTACTGAATTATTGAGTTTTGATCTATTATAAATTTCTTTTAAAAAGGAAAAAAAAGTATATTTTGCTCATAACTTCCTTTTTTGTTTTCATGCTTTCAATCTTTATCTCTTTACCTGTCTCATTTTAATTGGCTTTAGTATGATTTCATTGCTCCTATCATGCCTGTGGTGGAATCAATAGATCCTGCATCATGGAGGCAGGGCTTGCGCAAAACTGGCATTGTTCTTGTGCCCAATAAGGGTGAAAAATCTATGGTGAGGCATTTCTATGTGCAAGAATTTATATTAGGATACAATATAACAAGTTTAATACAAATACTGGTTCCAAAGATGCATGGTTTTAAGTCCTTATGGTGTGCTCATTTTTGTTTTTTGTATCTGCATCATAAATTTTCTGCGTGATATAAAGTGTGTAGTGTTTTCTCTAATCTAACCTCTGTAAAGGTAGTCTGTTCCTCTTTCAGTTTTAGATTTTTACTTTTTTAACTAAGATATTAACCTATCTAGTAAAAGTGTTTTCTCAAACTATTAACTATAATTTTAGACATTATCTGAAAACTTAATCATTTCCAAATTCAGGACTAATCAGTTTGGATAATTTTTTTTTTCTTAATAAAAACAGTTTCCAACTTCAACTACAAAAATTTCTCCCAAAGAAGAAGAGAGAAAAGATGAATCTCCTGCATCTTGGAGGTTAGGACTTAGAAAGACTGGCAGTTATGGTGCACTTGCTGAAATCACAGCATCTAAAGAGGCTCAGAAAGAAAAAGACACTGCAGGTGTTATACGTTCAGCTTCAAGTCCCAGACTTTCCTCCTCTTTGGATAATAAAGAAAAGGTAATCTGTTTCACATTCTGGGGTTTCTATGAAACTCTTTAATAATTTATTTTCTAGAAACATCAAATCTGATAGGTTTTCTACTAGATATCTTTAAATCCTAGATCTCAAGTTAATTCACCAGACTTAATTATATACTACAAAATGTACCACCTTGAATAAATATATGTGTGGACTTATAAGTACTGAGAAGATCACATGTATTTGCTCAAAATATAAATTTTAGGATTATTACTAACTTAAGTTTAAAAAATCTTTAAAGAGAAAAAGAAAGAAAAAGGGGGATCCCATGAAAGTAGAAGAAATTAGTGGAGTAGAGAAAGAGGCTTGAAGCAAAAGGAGGAAGGATAGGAAAAGGCAAGAGCAGTGGAATGAACCTGACCAAACTTTCCTCTGTACATACATGAATATACTTCACAGTGAATCACCTGTATGTATATTTACAAGATGCTAATTTTTAAAAACACTATAAATAAAAGAAAGATCAGTAGAATAAAAGAAAAAGAATAAGGAAGGAGTAAGAAAGGGAAAGGGGAAATACTGGGGACTGAATTAGAACAAATTTTATTCCAGGCTTGTATACTTATTTCAAAATGAACCCCAATGTTATTTATAACTAAAATGAACTAATAAAAATAAAACCACGTGGCATATTTCAAAACATTTGGAGAAAATCCTTCACCCTACATTTTATAATAGAATATATTAAGGAATAAGTTTATTATTTATTATGATTTCACAAGTTTTCCAAAGCTTAGGGACACATTTTTTTTTCTGAATGTGATTCTACTCATATTCATTCAGTATCTACAGTTTCTTTACCAGCTTTTTGATTTGATACATTACGAGCAACTTTGTCTTAATAAGTACTTTTATTTACACTTGAAAGGCAGTATTAATTTGGAATCAAACAGATATGCCTTTTTATTCAGTGCCATTGTATGATAATTAGATTGTTTATATTCTGTGCTTGTACTCCATATATGTAGTTTTCATATGTTTCCTTGTTATCCGAAATAATAGAGATCAAATTTTTCCTCAGTTAATTTAATATTTTTTGCTTTTTATAAATTTATTGCCTAATTATTTTTCAGGATTGTATGTCAGTAAACCCATCATTGTCACTACACACAGCCATATTTGGATAAACATAATTTAGATTGTTTTGAATATTTTAATGTATTATTAAGGTATAGACTCACAAGGTTATAGATAGCTTATATAACAAATGATTAGGAATTATCAGTGAACCATATTTCAGACATTATTTGAGACAGTCTGAGAGAAGCAGAGTGTTTTAGCTTGCAGTACTACATTATTTTAATGTCAGAAGTTTTATCAAAAATCCTTAAGAAGTAAAAGAAATTTGCTTTCTTATGTTTTTTTCTAATTCTAGATTTAAGGAGAATGAAGAAAATTAGTTCAACAGGCCATATTTCAGAGCTTATGTAGTACTTGATTTTTATTTATTTATTTATTTTTGTACTAGGGTTGAATTCAGGGACACTTTACCACTACACTACATCCCTAGTCCTTTTATTTTTTATTTTGAAAGTCTCACTAAGTGGCCGAGAGTCTCCCTGAGTGGCTGAGACTGGCCTCATACTTGATCTTCCCACCTCAGTCTCTAGGACTGGGATTACAGGTACATGCCACCATATCCATCAGTGCCTGGTTATTGATATGTGTCAGTTTTAGAGCTTACCTAAGAAATATGGAAATACTATAAATTGTGATAGCCTGTAATTATGCATTGTTGAATAACTGTTTCTTAATATTTTTAGCAATGACTGTCTTCAGCACACAATATTGTTTTCATTTGTTTTTTTTTTTTTCCTATTGTGCAGGAGAGAGAGAGTAAAGGAGCAAGGCTTGCATATGTTGCACCTACTATACCAAGACGTCTAGCTAGCACATCTGACATTGAAGAGAAAGAAAACAGGTGAGTTTATTATGATTTGCTTTATGCCTTTACTTTAAATCTTTGTTATCTAGCATCAAAATTAATACATAAGTTTTGTATTTATGTGAGTATGGAATCTGGAAGATATAGGGGATGTTCCTGATAGAACACCAGGTACATGGTCTTGGGAGTTCAGGCTTAGTACATTTATACAGTACAGCAAAGAAGGCCATATGGCTGGAACAGAGTACAGGGAAAGTAGCAGCACAAATTCTCTAAACATTTCAAACATTTGGAAAGGGGGAAAGAAGAGAGGAAAAGCTCAATCAGTTTCATTATTTTCCTTGGTTCCTTCCTATTTTCAGCACATTTTAGAGTTTGTGAACTTTTTAATATAGTTGTAATCACATTATAACATCCATTTGTGTGCCTGGATATTTTTTTCACCTAGCATCTCATAATCAATCTTAACATGTTAGTATATATTCTCAAAAAATATTATTTTTCATCAGTGAATTATGCCATAGAATAGATCTCCTGCTATGGGCATATAGTCTAATATTTTGTGATCACAAATAATATTTTTGTAAATATCTTAATTTTTTCCCCATATTTAGGATTATACCATGGGAATAGAATAATTACTCTCACTTATTGGTAAATGTACCAACGTATTTTCCCATGGGATTCTATTAGTTTCTGCTTCTACTAGTATTTATTATTAGTGTGCAACTTTTTAAATCTTGTTTTAAAATCATCAGAATCTGAAGGGTATTCTTTTTACAGAGACTCTTTGAGTTTGCGAACAAGTAGCTCTTATACAAGAAGAAAATGGGAAGATGATCTTAAAAAAAACAGCTCAATTAATGAAGGATCAACTTATCATAAAAGGTAATAATGGAATTCTTAGATGGTTTTATGTATTCTTTTATAAAAATATTATGCAGTTTGTTTCAAGCCCTCAGTTTAATATCAATTAAGCATTAGGTACTTTGATTAAATATTATATCTTTTCTCATATACGTAAAACTTGATATAAAGGCAGTAATGTATTTAAAGATGGGTGGGTTTATTTTTACTTATGCCTTTCTATGATATATTTAAACTTGATATATTATGAAGCATTTTTCATAGGAATTTATTATATAAATAAGTAGAGCAACTGAAATAGGTCAGTGTCTCTATTTAAGATCTGGTCATCATTCAGTGGAATATTAGTATTATCATCTTGAAGAAGAAAATAAACCCTATAAATTAATTGTCTGCTAAAAACAACTGAAAAGAGTAAGAAATGAACAAGTATAATGGAGGCATGGGTCTCTCCTAGGAATCTGAACCATAGCCAGAAAAATTTCCTGGTGTGGGGCATGGTATCATACACCTGTAATCCCAGCCACTCAGGATTGAAGCAGGACCATTGAGAATTTGAGGCCAGCATGGGTAACTTAGCAAGATCCTGTCTCAAAAAATGTTTTAGAAGGACTGGAGATGTAATTCAGTAGTAGAGTGCTTGTCGAGCATGTACAATACCCTGGGTTCAATCCTCGGTACCACAAAAGAACAAAAATAAGTGTTATTTCTTTTCTTTCTTTATTTTTTTTCCTAAAAAGTAAAATGTTTTGCTTTTCCCTGGATAAAACCACACCAGTGCATTTCCTTCCTTCCTTCCTCCCTCCCCCCCCCCCCCCTCTCTCTCTCTCTCTCTCTCTCTCTCTCTCTCTTTCTTTCCTTCTTAGTTGTAGATGGACAGCATGCCTTTATTTTATTTGTTTATTTTTATGTGGTACTGAGGATCGAACCCAGGGCCTCTCACATGCTAGCAAGGGCTCTACTGCTGAGCCACAACCCCAGCCCTACCAGTGCATTTTCTTAGGACCCATCTGGCATGACCATATGATCTTGAATATTCCAGAAGTATGAAATATCAAATCAGATTATCTTTGGGTTTTTTCAAAGGAGTTGGAAGCAGGCAGTAAAATGATACACTACTTAATTAGTGAAATCATCTAAACTCTAGCAAGTTGTAGATGCAACTCTTGGTGCTGGAGCTGGTGGTATATTTAGGAACACAGTTTCTTAGATATTTCCTGGTCTTGTGAATTTGTATAATGTATTAGACATTAAATATAGAACACACATTCAGACACATCCTATATAGATATGACTCTTTCCTTTAGTTGCTCCTTTGGTAGAAGACAAGATGATTTGATTAGTTCTAGTGTTCCAAGCACCACATCAACACCAACAGTTACCTCTGCAGCTGGGCTTCAGAAAAGCCTGCTTTCCAGCACAAGCACTACTACAAAGATTACAACGGGTTCTTCCTCAGCAGGCACACAAAGCAGGTAAGTTACAGATACATTTTATGTTCAGGTCTACTGTGTGCTTATGTATGTGCATGCATATTTGTTTAGAAGATTGTGGGGCTCTGGATTTTTTTCATTTATCTTACTAAATTTATTTCCAAACAAAAATTGATTCCAAAAAGAAGCAATTATGCATGTTTGGGGAAAACAGAATAAGTTCCTGAATTAGATTGTTTAAAATGTAAATTTCTCTCTTTGACATCTCAGGGTGAGCTTTTTGGTTCATAGTTGAAAGATGTCTCACCTTGTGTTTTTAAAAAATCCATCCCTGTAGTCACATGTGTTCAGCTGCTAGAAAGTGCTTTCATTGTTTAGCTGTTTTCCTTTTCTCTTTTTGTGTTGCTGCTTATGATGCTATAGTACCTCAAATCGTTTGTGGGCTGATGATAGTACTGAAAAAGAAAAGGACAGTGTTCCTACGGCAGTGACCATTCCTGTTGCTCCAACTGTTGTAAATGCTGCAGCTTCTACCACAACCCTGACTACAACTACTGCTGGCACTGTCTCCTCCACATCAGAGGTCAGGGAGAGACGCAGGTGTGTAAAGGTCCTAACACTACTGCTGATATGTTTGCTTAGTGATGAAAGTTGGTTTTGTTTTTTAAATTTTGGGAAGTTGACGACCATCTCTCCAATAGACTATTAAATGAAATACTCTTATGTCAGCTTGAAACTATTTAAATTGAAATAACTAGCAATTATTAGTATTTAGATTTAGTAATCCATCTCTGAGAGAATTAATGTTTTTGTTTAAAGGCAGTAAGCCTCATAGTTGCCTTCTTACTTATTTTTCACATTATTTCCTCTTGTTATTTAGAAATTTGATGAATGTTAAGCTGTTTTGAAATTTTCATCTTAAAATTCCTTTCTGGGTGTACCCATCCAGTGGTAGAGTGCTTGCCTAGCAAGGCCCTGGGTTCCATCTCTAACACCACCACCAAAAAAAAAAAATATATATATACACACACACACACACACACACACACACACACGTATGTATAAAATGTATAAATATATATATTCTTTTGGTGATGGAAGGGCTCTTTTTATAGGTATAAGCCAAATTTAGTTTTGTAAAATACATTCAGTTAATTCTTATAGATCTGGTACAAAGAATCTGAATTTATTTTATGTGCTTAAATGTACTTAGGAATATTGTTCACATCTTCCTGCTGCTGCCTATTGAAATGGAATCATACATGTAGGAAGGAGCTTACTTATCTTTTGTGATATCTTTTTGCTTCACAGAAGGAAACTGAGACCCAGAGATATTATATGACTATCCAATTTTGTATAGTTGATTAATTGGTGTGAAAGCTGAGATACACCCCAGGATTGTAGAATCAGTCCGGTTCTTTCTGCTATGTCAAGCACAGTCCCTAGTTTTGAATTTTATTTTTTCCTTTTTAAAAGAAATTGAAATCTTAGTACACTAAATATCAGCTTTGTTTTTATATTATATTCTTGGAAAATTAAATTAGCTACATGACTACATTTTTCTTACTAAAATACTGATGGGTTTTTGTTTCTATCACAGTGTTATATACAAAATGCTTTTCTCGAGTGCCTAGTAAATGTGCTTTGCCTGTAGTATTATGGCCTAATCATAGTATTTGTTTTTTGAATATATAAAACATAACAAGTTATTGTTAAATATTTTCTTTCCTATCATAGCATCTTTAGTTATTATTAGCATATTTAGATTTCATTCCTGTTTTAATGGTGAATTTTAATCAAACTTATATAACACCACTGTAAATGGTTAGCACTTTTTTGAGTGGAATACTAGCATATCATGTTCATTTTAATTATTATTTTCTACAAATTTAAGTCCAGTTTAGGTTTTTATGGTGCTTTCATATACCAACAGACATTAGAGGATATCACACATCATTCTTACTTACCCTTAAAGTAATCCATCATTTGATCAAATTTATCAAAATAAGTTTGTAGGCTTAGCCTATTTTTGATGGATGTGTTGAAGAAGAGAAGTTCTTCATTTTTTAATCCTTACGTACTTTTTTTTTTTTTTTAAAGCAGTGCTAGGACTTGAACCCAGGGCCTCTGTACTGAGCTACACACCAGTCCCTTGCTATGTCTTGATCCTTAAGATCAGAATTTTCTTCTGTAAAAAGGAGTACTTGATTTATGTAATTTTTAACTCTGGAATACTTTCTGTCTCCAGCATTTCATGCTTTTAAAAATTTCTTCAATGACAGGTAAAACCTCATGACTATCTCCCAGAATCATCAGTTGCTTCAGAACAAATTATGAGGATTTTTGGAGGGTGCCATGGTAGGGATAAAATCCAGGGACTTCTGCATGCTGAGAAAGCTCTTTATCACTGAACTACAACCCTAGCTCAAATTATGATTCTTGATGTCAGATTTTTGTTTCTTTGTTTGTTTCTTTCTTTTGGAGAGAGTTGAATTTGACTTTTAGAATCAGTCCTAAACTAGTTTTAATGGAAGATATTAAAGATTGAAAATTAAATTTTTTGATAAATTGTTAGAACAATGCAGATTCTAATAACATAACAAAATGTGTCTGCTGACATTGTTTTTGGTCTTATTGTAGAGATTTTGTTTGTCTTTGTTTTAATGATGTTTGCAGTATTATTAATGTTTGTGTGTTCTTTAATGTGAAATAGTCATTTGCAGTTTTTAATACATTGTTAGCTTCTGTTTATTATCAAATTTCATCATTGGTCCTAAGTGTTTATGGTTCATAATTTGCCTTAAAATGTATATATGATAATTTTAAAATACATTGTGGCTGGGCTGAGGTTGTGGATCAGTGGTATAGTGCTTGCCTAGCATGTCTGGGGTTTGATTCTCAGCACCACATATAAATTAACAAATAAATAAAGGTCCATCAACAACGGAACAAAGTATTTTAAAAAAATACATTGTGACTGAAAAAGATAAATCGACACATTTATACCATTAGGTACCTTACCATGCCTTTAGGATTTTATATAATATTTACTACACACACTTTTAAATTTACACAGTGTTCTTGAATTTTCCTGTTGCTTTTTATTAGACTGTGTTGAGATTTCCTGTTTTTCTTAGTTAAGAATTCCAGTGTATTAATTTCTGTTTTGTAAGTAGGGAGAAGCTAGATTTAAATAGGTGGAGCATAAATAGCAAATTCCTTGACCATTTTAAGTATTTGTAATTCTCCAGTCTTTTCAAACTGCAAAAGAGTACCTTACAAATAACTTCATACTTACTTGGAACTGTTGCTTTTGTATAACTACTCTCTTCCACCATTTTTTCCTTGGTTCACCTGTCTCCCATTTGCCCATTTGTATTTCTTCTGGAAGGAATAAAGCTAAATGATACAGAAAGGGCTGGTGTCAGTTTTTCAAAAATGTAATTTGGTTGAGTAGCCAAAATAGAACTATTATAAGTATTTTAGCTAATAAATATCAGTTAAATTTTTAAAATGTAGAATAATTGAATTTATAAGAAAAAATACCTTATTGAAAAAACAAAATGACCTTTGAGTTGCTCAGAATAATCTAAGACAAATTACACACCCTGTGTAATGAGAAGAAAAAAGTGTAGTTAGACACTATGATACAGCTGTAATTAAGGCAACAATGGAGTTTGGCTGATATAGTCTACCATCTTATTGATAATCAATTCTTTGGAATTGAAGACATAAAATATATATATATATATTTTTTTTTTCTGTCCATTCTATTCTTAGAGGTCTGTCTTCATACTTTACGTAATTACTCCAAAAGAGGAGACAGGAACTGAATATCAGGTGGTGACTATCAGCTATAGGAACTGTGTTTTAAGTTACAAATTAATAGGCTAGATTTCATGTTAATTTAAGACAAATACATATGGAAAGTTTAAGTGAACAGATCTTCTATAAGTTTTTCAGAAAACTTTTACTTCTCTCCCCAGTAAGTGTGATGGGTTTGTTAACTTTTCAAGACATCTTGTAAATGTATTAAGAAGGGATCCAGGCCCATTGGAAGAGAGTGTGATAGTTGATTGGTGTTATTTGCCATGGTGGGGTAAAAAGAGTAAAGTGGCAAAGCAGTTTCTCTCTTCTAAACTAAATGTGAAAATTCAACCATGTAGAGTTGTAGCCAGAATTCACAGTGCATGTTCATTCTTTCAGAATAGTTCAGGTAATGCTGAAGTGATATATGCATCTGTGTGACCTATTTTAAACCAAATTAGTTACCACTTTAGGTTTGATCTTTTATTTTTTTATTCTTTTTATCTGGTAGAAGTTCAAAAGAGGCAGTTAGTATATAAATAAGAATTAAACTCATGAGTGAAAAAAATAGATTGTATCACATTTTTCAGGCTGAATTTCCTAGAAACACTTTTTCACATTTAATAAATGTGCCACCAAAAGAAGAAGAAAGATTCTGTACTTGAAATAATTTGGGGAAATATTTAAATAGGTTACTTCTCTCAGTACACCTCAGACCCTTTAGTAGTTTTATGATTTTCCTAAAAAGGATCGGAATGGAATATTTATCATTTCCCAAATTTGTATACCTGTTTCTACAGAAAAACAGGTCTTTATTTTTTATCGTATCCCAGAATAATGTTTCGTATACATTATACAATCTTAATAACAAGATTGTTGATTATTGTCTTTCTCCTTTCATATTACTTGCTCCCAGAAAACTCAGTTAAGTTGTTATTAAAAATAAAATCTAAGTAAAAGTCTGAAAACTTATAAACAGTTGATAAAATGAGCTTTATAAAACAGTGGGAGATGGCTGGGGATGTGACTCAGGCTGTAGCGCGCTCCCCTGGCATATGCGGGGGTGCTGGGTTCGATCCTCAGCACCACATAAAAAAATAAAATAAAGATGTTGTGTCCACCAAAAACTAAAAAAAAAAAAAAAAAAAACAGTGGGAGAATGAGAAGTGTCAAGCTTAGTGTAGCACCAGAAGGAAGAGCAGGCAGGTCCTCACAGATGTACTCATATGCATTTGTGCATTGGTACAGACGAAAACTATATGTAGCAGAATTTTAAATAAGATTGTCATGGGCCAGCCATGGCTGTGTGTGTGAACTATGAGGGGCCTGGACTGACGTTGCCTCTCTGTTTGGACTAGTGATGTGTGTGTGTCCTTTTTGCGCACTCTGCCTATGATCCCCATGTAGCACATGAGATGGGCATGGCTTCCCAAGATGTCAGTCAATCTGCTGATGGCAAGACATCAGGAAGCTAGACTCAACCCCCTGAAACCTGACCCCTTGCCTCATTTGTCTTCCCCTCAATAAAAAGGGCTTCAGAAAGTTTTCCCCCTCTTTCTCCTCTGCCTTGCCCCCCTTGTGGGAGTAGTGGCTGAGGAGCCCTCACTGAACCCAAAGAAAAAGGTACTTTCTGTGTCAGTGTCCTTATTTAGTCAGCCCAAATTCACCTGTAGTGACCCTGACTGACTTAGTCGTGTGACGCAGTATAAGATTCTGAGAGGAAGCCAAATCAATGAAAGATGGACAACCAAATTTTATTATTTAGTTTTAATTCCTGCTTTTAATTCTACTTTTAGTATAACAAGTTTATTTAAAGTCACAGAAAACAATTAGGTATTTTTTATAATTTACTATTTTTAAAAATAGTATGAAATTTTAGGTTATTTACATAAGAACTAATATTTTAGTGGAAAGTAGTTAAAAGAGAAAATTTTACAAAGTGCTTCAATTAAAAGTATGCCTTCTTGATTAGGTAAATGTAATCTTACAATAGCAAAAAAAAAAACAGGATCTTTCTGTATTTAACAACATCAAGATGAAAACATGATAAAGAGAAAAAATGTAGTTATTTTGTTACAAGATAGCACAAGTTACTCAAATAGATTCTCAGACCATATCATAAAAATAACTTAAAGTGCAGTTATGATGAAATTTTTATCTAAGTTTGCTAACATCTCAGTAAAGTAAAACACTCTCTTGAGAACTTCTTGACTTAAAGATCTTAAGTGAGAACTTCTTCATCTTAGGGTTAATTATCTAAGGATTTAATACCAGATAGTGAATCGTGCCCTCTAGTTTTATCTTTGAAACTCTTGATTCAGAGAATCCAGTTGTATATCTTCAAACTCCTGTGCCTCATATACTAGGTTTTAGAGGGTATATAGATAAAATAGAAGGCATAAAACAGGCAATAAATCTAGAAGTTTATTGTGCTCATATAAATAGCTTAAAGAGCAAAATGAATTATAAATTGAGATGAATACTGAAGCTAACAAAATATATAAAATATATATATACTCTTATAAAGTAGCATTAAAAAAAAAACTCACCAGACCATTGGGGTTTGAAGAGGAAGCCGGTGGCATAAATTAAACTTAATTAACTTAACAGAAAAAGTATTCTGTTTCCATAAGTGTTCTCAGCAAAATGTAAATTAGATATTAATATAATTAGGTTGAATTTCCCATATAATACTGATTATTAGAGCAATGTATTCATGATGTATTTCAGGAATCTACCTTATCTTTGTTTGTTCAACACTTTATTTAATTGTTAACTTAGGACATATATTTTACCATTTCAAAGTTTCTCAATTCTTGTTCATTCTCTTGTTCAAGAGTATGATGTGTGCCAACCACATCATTAATAAAAAAGCACATTGCCAAGAGTGTAGTGGTGCTGCTTACTCACCATTTCATAGTCTAAATTTTGCCATCAGTCCTAGCTACTGTGCTGAAAGAAGGCATTGACAGTCTAGAAATCAGTCAGATAATTTCACATGTCATCTAAAATTACATTACAAGAAACTGAAAAAGGGAATTTAAGAGGAATGGCTTAAGAAATTAGGACTCTAGTGCTAGGGCTATAGCACAGTGCTAGAGTGCCTGCCTTGCACATGTGAGGCACTGGGTTTGATCCTCAGCACCACATAAAAATAAATAAATAAAGATATTTTGTCCGTCTGCAACTGAAAAAAAAATTAAGAAAAAGAAAAGAAACCCTAGAGAATAAACAATTTAAAAATGAATTTGACTATCACTATTTGCGGTTGACATGATTCTATACCTAGCAGACCCAAAAGGTTCTACAAAGAAACTACTAGAGCTAATAAATGAATTCAGCAAAGTGGCAGGTTATAAAATCAACACACATAAATCAAAGGCATTCCTATATATCAGCGACAAATCTTCTGAAATGGAAACGAGGGCAACCACCCCATTCACAATATCCTCAAAAAAAATAAAATACTTGGGAATCAACCTAACAAAAGAGGTGAAAGATTTATACAATAAAAACTACAATACCCTAAAGAGAGAAATAGAAGAAGATCTTAGAAGATGGAAAAATATACCCTGTTCACGGATAGGCAGAACTAACATCAAAATGGCGATATTACCAAAAGTTCTCTATAGGTTTAATGCAATGCCAATCAAAATCCCAACAGCATTTTTTGTAGAAATAGATAAAGCAATCATGAAATTTATCTGGAAAATAAAAGACCCAGAATAGCAAAAGCAATTCTAAGCAGGAAGAGTGAAACAGGCAGTATAGCGATACCAGACTTCAAACTATACTACAGAGCAATAGTAACAAAAACAGCATGGCACTGATACCAAAACAGGCGGGTGGACCAGTGGTACAGAATAGAGGACACAGAGACCAATCCACAAAATTACAACTATCTTATATTTGACAAAGCATGCAATGGAGAAAGGATAGCATCTTCAACAAATGGTGCTGGGAAAACTGGAAATCCATATGCAACAAAATGAATCTGAATCCCTTTCTCTCGCCATGCACAAAAGTTAACTCAAAATGGATCAAGGAGCTTGATATCAAACCAGAGACTCTGCGTCTGATAGAAGAAAAAGTTGACTCTAATCTACATATTATGGGGTCGGACTCCAAATTCAAGTTTAAAACAAGAATCAACAAATGGGACTTACTCAAACTAAAAAGTTTTTTCTCAGCAAGAGAAACAATAAGAGAGGTAAATAGGGAGCCTACATCCTGGGAACAAATYTTTACTCCTCACACTTCAGATAGAGCCCTAATATCCAGAGTATACAAAGAACTCAAAAACTTAAACAAGAAAACAAATAACCCAATCAACAAAAGGACCTGAACAGACACTTCTCAGAGGAGGACCTACAATCAGTCAACAAGTACACAAAAAAATGCTCACTATCTCTAGCAGTCAGAGAAATGCAAATTAAAACCACCCTAAGATACCATCTCACTCCAGTAAGAATGGCAGCCATTATGAAGTCAAACAACAACAAGTGCTGGTGAGGATGTGGGGAAAAGGGTACACTTGTATATTGCTGGTGGGACTGCAAATTGGTGTGGCCAATTTGGAAAGCAGTATGGAGATTCCTTGGAAAGCTCGGAATGGAACCACCATTTGACCCAGCTATTCCCCTTCTCAGACTATTCCTCAAAGACCTTAAAAGAGCGTACTATAGGGATACAGATACATTGATGTTCATAGCAGCACATTTCACAATAGCTAGACTGTGGAACCAACCTAGATGCCCTTCAATAGATGAATGGATAAAAAAAAAATGTGGCATTTATACACAATGGAGTATTACTCAGCACTAAAAAAAATGACAAAATCATGGCATTTGCAGGGAAATGGATGGCATTAGAGCAGATTATGCTTAGTGAAGCTAGCCAATCCCTAATGCCAAATGTCTTCTTTGATATAAGGAGGGCAACTCAGAACAGAGCAGGGAGGAAGAGCATGAGAAGAAGATTACCATTAAACAGGGACGAGAGGTGGGAGGGGAGAGTGAAGGGAAATTGCATGGAAATGGAAGGAGACCCTCATTGTTATATAAAATTACATATAAGAGGAAGTGAGGGGAAAGTGGAAAAAAAAACAAGGGAGAGAAATGAAGTACAGTAGATGAGAAGATGGGAGGGGAGGGGAGGGGAGGGGGGATAGTAGAGGATAGGAAAGGCAGCAGAATACAACAGACACTAGTATGGCAGTATGTAAAAATGGATGTGTAACCGATGTGATTCTGAAATCTGTATACAGGGTGAAAATGGGAGTTCATAACCCACTTGAATCAAATGTATGAAATATGATATGTCAAGAGCTTTGTAGTGTTTTGAACAACTAATAAAATAAATAAAAATGAATTTGATAACCTGTCTTCTAGTATTTGAAAACAGTATGAGTACAGAAAAATAAGTCCCCACTTTTGTTAAATACATACATACATAAATGCTTAGAACTTAGCCCACTAATGTATTAGGACACAGGGAAATTTTTAGGGGGAACTGGAGAACTAACATTGAATAAATTATTTCTCAATAGAAGTTAGATTATGACTTTTTTTGGATGTTGTTTGGCTAAGAAGAAGAGTTTCCTCAGTTAAAAACAAACCAAAAAAAATCACTCCCTGTTCATTCTGATAAGTTGGTCTTTTGCTAAATGAAATGTTTTTACCTCTTCAGTAGAGGTAACATTTTTAATCTTCAGTTCCTGAAATCCTTCTTATAAATGTGGTTCTTCCTTAAAATTAAATAATTTGGTTAAAATGTAATGAGGAAAAAATTAAATTGTAATATGTCAATTAATTTTAAGCTAAAAAGAAATAGAGTATATTCAGATGTTTTCTGAAGATAATTTTTCTTAAAACATGAAAAGCTAAACTTACATGTTTAATTCACATACATTGATATAAATTTATATTCACAAATATATCTCCACCTAATAATTTTTCTTTACTGCTATAGATCATACCTCACTCCTGTTAGAGATGAAGAATCTGAATCCCAAAGAAAAGCAAGATCTAGACAAGCAAGACAGTCTAGAAGATCAACACAGGTATATTTAATATGTATAATTTATAAAACATGAAATATATATAAACACACATACTTAATATGTAATAAATTTTCTTTTACTTTGCTGTGAAAATATTGATGTCTATATACTAATATGAATAAATTTTGAAGGTAGAAGTCACTATAGAAATACTCCCATGGTTTTGTATATGATTATACTATTAATATTATATTCTTGGATTAGCTGTATGCCTTTGTATCTTTTTTAGTATTTTTTTTTAATTCCCCATTTCTAATTTGAGTTCCAGGACACAGTAAGTATTGATAAGTGTTAGAATTAATCAATTAAGGCTGAGGTTGTAAGCTCAGTGGTCAGTGGTTGAGCGTTTGCCTCAGGTTCGTGGGGCACTGGGTTTGATCCTCAGCAATACATAAAAAATAAATAAATAAAACGAAGATACTGTGTCCATCTGCAACTAAAAGAAAAAATTTAAAAAATTAATCATATATGATCTTTATTTATTAAAGAGTTCTGTGACTATTTGGATGTAGGAGGGGGTAGAGAAAAGGCTTCTTAATATTAAGTATGTCTAACAGCTAATATGCAATTACGAGAAAAATGTCTCCCAGGTTAGTCATTATCTTCTTACTTCCTCTTTATCTTGCTGATTATTATATATCCCTTTGTGTCTTTCCTTTCTTATAGTTGGGGAGCTCCACAGCAGTTGTTTGATTTTTTACCATTACTCACCCTTCAAGCTGAACTATTCATATTGAAATCTTAACCTTAGCTTATTGTGTGTGTGTACATGTATATTTACATATACTTCACACACTCATAGATATAAATGTATGTAATGTATTATGTAAACAATGTATATTTTGTCTTTTCTTCCTCTGATCTTGGGAACAATTATATTCCTATCATATATCTCTTTTTTGTTAATAAAATTTCTGAATACTGAGACATTTTCTTACATTTATAACTTTCCCAGAATTTATCCTTGTGCTTACTCATGGTGATACTTCTTAAAATAAATCACTTCGCTGCTTAAAAACTATTTCAGTTTTAAAAACTGAATCAATTTCAAACATGATTATTTGACATTTAATATATCTTTATAAAATATTCTTTCAAAAGGACTTTTAATGCATCCCACAATTAACTTATCCCTTTTTGTGTGTAGGGGGTGACATTGACTGATCTTCAGGAAGCTGAAAAAACAATAGGAAGAAGTCGTTCTACCAGAACCAGAGAGCAAGAAAATGAAGAAAAAGAAAAGGAGGAAAAAGAAAAACAGGATAAGGAAAAACAAGAAGAAAAGAAGGAGTCAGAAACATCTAGAGAAGATGAATATAAGCAAAAATATTCTAGAACATATGATGAGGTAATAGTATAGCTGGGTTGAATAGGATGAATAGTTCTTATCATTCTAAGTATACCAGAGATTTATATACCAAGAAACCTTACATAGAAAATGTGAAAGGATTTTAGCTGGCATTCTGAATTACTTTGGCATGATTAGAAAAATTACTTTTCTTTTGAAATGAATTTTTAAGTGTTCTATATGTTTATTGTATTTAATATTTCAAGTGGATTTTAATTTTAATGTTTCACAGACTTTCCCACGTTATAGACCAGTATCAACTTCAAGTTCAACCACTGCATCCTCTGCCCTTCCTACAATGACCAGTTCACTCTATGCTTCAAGTCAACTAAACAGGCCAAATAGTCTTGTAGGTATAACTTCTGCTTACTCTAGAGGATTAACTAAAGAAAATGAAAGAGGTAAGAAGACTAATTTTGAAAATAATTTGTTTCATTTAAATAATCCTTTGAATTGATTTTTCCTAATTGATAATTAGGAACTAACTGATACAACCTAAACGGTTAGTTATCTGCCTAAACAGAAAGAATGTGAGGTTGAGAAAAAAGTAGAAAATAAATATAGAAAATGATGTGATCTGTAGTTAATATGAATCTTTATAATCTAATACTTTACAAAAATCTTCGTGTCTGCCTACAAAGAAAAGTCAATACAGAAAACCTGATGGGTGCCTATTTCTTAGAGTAGTTTATTGGTGTAGCACTTTTCACATGCTTTAAGCTATTTCTTGCCTACTTTTTAGAATATTTTCTTGTGAAATTGTTTTAAACTAAAATCACTTCACACACTTAATGTCCTTGTGAAACTGGAGAATTTGAAATGAAACTTCATTCACTTATTCTGTTGGTGGATAGAATGTTTTAAGTTGGAGGCCTCTGCAGCCAAGAAAACCCAGTTTAGTGTTAGACAGCTAATTACAGCAAGGGATGCCTTCCATCCCCAGCTCCAGTTGTAACAGCCAGCCAAACCTGATTCTTTTCCACTACCATTGAATGGTATGTTATAGCCTTCAGTATTGCAGCTCTGAATGGCAGTTGTGCTCTCCAGTATTGTAGTAGACTATAGCAGCTTGCTACCAACTTCTTCTAAGTTCTTGTCTTGCAAATTCAAAGAATGAAATTCATGGGGTAATGGAAGACCAGAGAGAAAGGAGTAGGCTTTTTTCCAGGCATGAAGAACAGAAGCAGAACTCTTGCAGGGGCAAGAGGATAACCCATGGAGGTTGCCCTCTGAGTGTGCTAGGCTAGGAGTTTATTTAGCATTTAGTTGATGCTGTTGATTCAGATTTATGCTAATCAAGGTTTGGAAAAGCAGTAACTCTATTGGTTAACTTTCCATTCAGGTCTCATTTCTGGTTTTGTTTGTTTGTTTGCCGCTCAGAGGAAAGTGGAATGTTGAGGTTGTTGGATTGTGGATGCTCAGGGCAGTAGTGCTGTACAGAGCAGATATCTGACCTGGGCCAGCACACCTCAGTCCCTTACTGGTGTGGCAGGCTCAGAGTTGATGGACCACACTCCAGGCCATGTGGGCCACAACTCTGGGATGACTTCAATTACTAAAACAAAAGTTTCATGAATTCTTTAAAAATGGATTTCTTTCTCAGCTGTATATATTGGCTCATTAATTTTTATTATTACCATTTCCTATTTGATATAAACTTTCTATTAAAATTCTAATTATTACTACTTTATATTAGAGGTGAATGTTAAATAAAATGATTCCTAAATATAGGCATTTTATATTTTAAAAACTAAATCTTATAGTGTTACTTATGATAATATCAGTAATTATGTACTATAAACATCAGAAAAATAATTTTTCTTAATTTCCAGATAGATTTTCTTTTGTTAATTATTGAAATGGTTCACTTCTTTGGGTTTGATCCTTAGCACCACATAAAAATAAAAAATAAAATAAAGGCATTCTGTCCATCTACAACTATAAAAGGAAAAAACTACTATGTGTGAGACCTATATAGTACTTGTAGACATTTTAAGCCACGATTTAGGGACATTTCACATAAAATTTCAGATTTTTTTGGCTTTTATTAAAAAATTGAAAAATTTGGCAACACGTCAGCAATCGACTAGAGCTAAGTAGTAACATTTACCCATTCTCCCAGCCCATTTTAACTTAGTTATTCCAAATATCTGGATGGGCACTGTAGGCATTGGAGTTTCAGGTTTTTGTTATAAAATTATACTAAAACAGTTTTAAGAACTCCTCTAATGCCGATTTTTAGTTGTCTTTTGCTGTGACTCTACTAACCACACAGTCTTTTATAAATCATTTTGTTTTCTCTATGTCTACTTTTTAAGCATATTCAAAGACTCTAATATTTTTGTAATGTATAAGCCTAAGGTAATTTTAACTGTTGCAGGGAAGAAATAGGAATCTTAAGACTAATATTTTATGTTGATTTATTTTTAATTAAAGTAAATACATTTTACAAAACAAAATGGTATGCTCTTAGATAGTATCTAACGGAAATGAAAAGAATACCGTATTACTGCTAAATGAGGACTTGCAGTAGTAGAAGCAGAAACTGATAAATTTACATGATTCCTGTTACCTGTCCCATCATTAAGATAGGTTTGGGGGTTTTGTTTTGTTTCGCTTTTCTTTGGTTTTCTCTTGAAGTATTATTTAGGCATAACAACTATCTCCCTATCACAAAATAAGAACTTCAGGATTCCATCTCTCTAGCAAATATTATTTTGTTTTGAGCAAATTTTTTTATTTTAAGCACTAGGAAAATGAAGATGATTCATTCTTATCCTGATATTTACGAATGTATCTAGGTGCTGGGATTGTAGTTCAGTGGTAGAGCACTTACTGGAACATGTGAGGCATTGGGTTTGATCCTCAGCACCACATAAAAATAAAAAATAAAGGTTTTGTGTCCATCTACAACTAAAGGATTAAAAAAAAAAAGAATGTATCTTAACAGGAGATAGAAATGTATGTTTATATGAAAGTGTATAAGGAACAATGAGAGAGGAAAAATTAATTATGATTTGTGAAATATAGGAGGCTTCACAAAAGAGGCTGACCTAGAATTGTTTTGATATACACCTTTTAAAATACGGTCAAGTTACATTTTTATCATATGTTTTATTTCAATCCTTAACAGAGGGAGAAAAAAAAGAAGAGGAGAAGGAAGGTGAAGATAAATCACAGCCTAAATCCATCAGAGAACGACGGAGACCAAGAGAGAAAAGAAGATCTACGGGAGTGTCTTTTTGGACACAAGATGTAAGAACCTTTTAAAACTAGTATAGTATTTTTAAAACTTGATTGTATACTTAATGTTTCCCAAAGTACATAATAACAATCACCTATATGCCTCATTATTATATATTATTAAATTCATCACTGTACTTTCTCAATTGAGTCTGTTAACTAAGAAAAATTCTTGATAAAAATAGTTAGACTTTTGGTATCATGTACAAGCAATTCTGTCCCAACTTTGCAATAAAAATTATAATAGCTGCTGCTCAGAGTACATATATTGATTATTATGTAATTACTAAACTGCTTTATTTTCGAGATTCTTGAAAGGAAGAGAGGTTGTACATATAATTTTGTTTTCACAAATATTTTAAGATTTATATAACAGTGATTTCCATCTCACGAAATGCCAGGTAGAGGCTCTGCTTTCTTTATCAAATTTCTACAGTCAAGTAAAAATTTTTATCCAGATCCCCAGTTGCATGCCTGCCAATACTATTCACATACAAAATGAATTATGAGGAAGCACAGTGAAATTTATAGTGTTTTATTACAACATATACCTATGGAAGAACAAAACAATATGAGTTTTATCCTCTTTTTTTCCCATTTGTTTAAAGAAGAAACCTTTCATTGAAGTTCAGTATATATATGCAAAAACAGTTCATTAAAGTATAGCTTAAGGAATTAGTGTTAAAAAATAATACATATATCCCCATATTTTTTCTCTTGAGCTTTATCAATCCTCATTTTCATTGTCAACCAGTATCCTGATTTGTAACAGCATAATTAGCTGTTTGCTCTTGAAGAACATTGAATAGAACTGTAAATTTTGTGATGTTTTAATCTCTTTTACCCATTTTTCTAAAAAGAAATAAAATTATCTGCTTTCCCATTGAATTGACCCTTAAATCATTACATGTTCCTCTTTATCTATAATGTTTTATCTTAAAGTTTGCTTCTTTGGAAAGCCTTCTTTTGATTAGCCTGTGCATATATATCTTTTCTATACTTTTATGTTCTACTTATAACAATGTATTAAGGGCAACATTTCTTTGAACAGGTTTATCTTTTAATTTCAGTTCATATTCATTTATTAATATATTGCATGTGCTACAAATAACATAGTTTAAAATATATGAAGAGTTAAGATACATTTTAAAACTGCATGTTATTTGTAGTATATGTAGTTGCACAAAATATAGGAAAGTATTAAATGGAGTTAAAGAGATTTAATATTTTTTATTGGCCATGATGTGAATAAAATATTCACATATGATTGGTTGTTTTTTTAAAGTTTCTTTTGATCAGTAATATTCTCCCTCCCTTTTTTTAAAACTTTTTTTTTTTTTTTTAGTTTTAGTTGGACACAGTATCTTTATTTTGTTTTTATGTGGTGCTAAGAATCAAACCCAGTGCCTCATGCATGCTAGGTGAGCACTCTACCACTGAGCCACAATCCCAGCACCTAAAACAATTATTTTTGAAGGAGCTGAGTTATCACATCTCTGAAGGGTAATTTACCATAGTCCTCTGGGTTTGTTTTTTGTTTTTTTTTTTAAATATTTCTGTAAATTGGTACTTGGAGTTAATGAATTGATCAGATTCTGGTTTAGTAGTCCTTAAACAATGTATTTTATTCCTCCATCAGGAAATATATAATGTCTGGTTGATTTTAATGGATTGCCCACTAACACTTTTCATAAACAATAAAATAAAACCTTGTATTCTTAGCATCCTATCATTTGGTAAGTTTTATTACTTAAAATTATTTTCTCAATAATTCATATGTATTGGAAATTACTACATAGGCAAAGCTGCTTAGTATTTTTTCCCCCAAATTTTATTGAAACCAATTCTTTTTTTAAAAGTACACTTTCTGGAATCGTGCACTTGACCCTCATTATAAGAATCCTTCCTCAAACCCATATTGGCAGTCCCACTGTTTTTTAATTTGAGCCAGCATTGATTGAGTTCTAATCATCCATCAAAGCACAGGACTCCTGTTATTTTTATTGCCCCATGTTTGCACCTTAGCAGACAACGTACAAAAATCCAAAGCTTAAAGAAAGGGTGGTGTGTAGTCAGGCAATTCATTTCTCTATCGTAATATTTGTTTCCTTTTCTTAGTTACAACTTTTTAGGAACTCTGAGCCTTCCCACTTTTTTCTTCCCAGTTCCTATGATCTCCCATGAAACAACAATACATAAAGGCAATCAGTTGATGACATACTAGTGGCAACACATCATCATTTTCTCTTCTTCACTTATTAACTAACTTCACGTACTTTTTTTGGTGCTAGGGATTGAGCCCAGAGGCACTTAACCACTGAGTCACATCCTCAGCCCTTTTTATATTTTATTTAGAGACAGATTCTGTTGAGTTACTTAGGGCCTTGCTAAGTTGCTGAGGCTGGTGGTTTTTAATTTTTTAATTGTAGTTGGACACAATACCTTTATTTATTTTTATGTGGTACTGAATATTGAACCCAGGGCCTCGCACGTGCTAGGCGAGCGCTCTACCACTGAGCCACAATTCCAGCCCCCAAGGCTGGCTTTGAATTTGTGATCCTTCTGCCTTAGCCTCCCAAGCAGTTAGGATTACAGGTGTATGCCACTGCGCCCAGCTCACATATCAAAGTAATAACTTTTACAAAGATTCTGTGTAATCTTTGGAATACTTCTGTAAAGTTTATATCCTCACTTTATGTATGAGGTAACTGTGGCTCAAAAATTTTTAATTTGCCTTAAGTCACACAGCTGAAAATAACTGTATTAATATGAAACTAGGTTTATCCAGTTTAAAGCCTGTAGTATTTGTATATTGAGCCTGAGCCAGATATGTTTGCACACCAATTTCTCTTTTATATTTCTTGAATATTTGAAGGCATAATCTGGAATTCTAGACATTTATCATATTCTGACCTACATTTTCTATTCCATGTACTCCCAAGAAATTTCTAGAAGGAACCCCACCTAAACATAGTAGGACTGTTGGGAAACTCTTACTAAACTTAACAAATCTAGCTTTTATTTACATAAAATAATTTTTTGTGCTGCTTCATGATATTTGAGTAGCTTAATAGTAGTTAATTGGAGCATACACAGTATCATAATATAAAGTAGAATATCTTCTTTCTTTCTTACCTTAAATTTCCATTTCCTTACCTTCAATAGAAATGTGTTTCCTAAACCACATGTTAGATAGGTTTTTGTCATCATATATGCTAGCCTACTTAGTTTGTGCCATGCCAACAAAATAGGCTTTCTCTAAATAGGATTGAAAAGCTCCCATTAAAAATCATTTTTTTTTAATTTCATAAATCTATTTTAGAGTGATGAAAATGAGCAAGAACAACAATCAGATACAGAAGAAGGATCCAATAAAAAAGAAACTCAGGTAAATAGCATTATTTTTGTATTGAATAATATTCATATTTACAGGATTACTTTTGAATTGTGTTTAATTTATAGTAATTCATACAAAACAGTTATTGCATATTGTACCTATCTACAGAGATACAGTATCAATGATTGCTTAAGGGTTAAAGGTAAAAGGACTAAATAGGGACAAACAGGATATCTTAAGAGGTAATAGAAGTGTTCTGGATCTCTATTGTAGTACTAGTTTCATGGATGTACAACACCTACCAAAACACATCAAGTGGACATAGTTTATTGTATAATTTAACCTTCAGAGCTGAGAAGAAAATACCTAAAGGATACTTCTCAGAAGTAGTGGAAATCTAGAAGTAGCAGACTCAGATTTTTATTTCTATAGATGGTAAAGTTAAGTTCTAGAGGAAATGGACCTCTAACTTTCTTTCTCCAAAGAACTTTTATATTGATTATTAGAAATGATACTCCTAACCATCTTTTTTTAAAAAAGGCTTTTTTAACCCTCTCAGTAGTGATGAAGGGTTTAAGGCAATTTTGAATGACTTAAGGTTGCACAGATAACAAGCAGTGGGAGTTTCTTCCCCTTGCCTTTTTTACCCTCCCCATTTGCTATTGTTTGGGTATGCAGAAAGATCAAATACTTTAGTTCTATTCACATCGGGACTGCCAACATGAGTTGCCACTATCTGGCCTGAAATAGCATCTCAGTCATGTTGATGTTATCTTCTTCATTTTGTCTTGGGGTTCCTTAATAGAGATAGCACAATCCTTTCAGTCTGCATGGAAGTATGTAGAGTAATGTGAAGCGACCAAAAGCTAGTTGCCTATGGTATGTGACTGTATCATTCCCATTAGAGCCAAGTGTTCCTATTTTAACTCAAAAGATACTTTTATAGGGTGGGGGCTATAGCTCAGTGGCAGTGCGCTTGCCTAGCATGTGTGAAGCACTGGGTTCGATCCTCAGCACCACATAAAAATAAACAAATAAAGGTATGCTGTCCATCTACAACTACAAAAAAAAAAATTAAAAAAAGAAAAAAGATACTCTTATATTTAGGTAGTCAGATAGATTGAGGAGTGAATTAGTACTGAGGGTAAATTATTGCAGGGGTAAAGCTTTGTCACGTCTGTCAATTAAACCTTTTGCATATCAGTTGTTAAAATTCCCCCAATTCATCTCTGTCCCTTCTTTATTATATTCTATTGTAACAAATTCTCCCATCATTTCCTTTCCCAGTTGTACTCTATGAATTCCCATCTCTCAAGGGGTAAAAAAGTGGACAGGTAAACAAGAGAAAGGAAATTAGTAAAGCATTCCCAGCTGACACTTCTAACTGACTTATCACACAGACCCACCTTCCTCAAGCTGGGTGGAAAGGAGAAGTTTCTGACTTACAAAGGTGTAACTTTGAAGCATATACTGTGTTTAAATTTTACTGTAAAAATTATGCATGAAATACATTAAGATTCTTAGAACATTGTTTCTAGAAAAAAAGTTTTCTTAGTTCCAAACAATTTAAATAATTTTTGTCTTAAATAGAAGAGTCTATAGATCTTACTTTGTGCTAGCATTCTTTTAGTCACAAGTAATAGAAAATCCAACCCAAACTGGATATCAATACATTATTGTACTCTGGTAATGTTATATAGTTTTATATGTTAGCTTCGTCTTCAAAATAATTTATCTCATAGGTATGGAATTATAGTTGGCTTAGGTTAGACATGTCTACCACTGAGGTGTTAGGGCCATCTTGCTCCTAGTATGGGCTATATATTATCATCTCATCTAAACCTTAATGACTGCTATACTTTGAGGAAAAGGAAGGATGGAGTGAAGATGCTGACCCACAATGTCTTCTGCAATACCTTACTACAGTTCTTCTCCCAATAAGTATGCTGTTCTCTTTTGAAAACTAACAGCATTAGCCCTAACTTCTTTGAAAAAATGTGAGGAGCAAAATTCTTCTTATGTCACTTTCTGAAGTGGGCTTATAATTACCTCAAAAATGTCTTCAACAACAAAGCTTCTAAACAGTCTTTTAATCCAATCTAAACACATTGACAGATGACTTTCTGGCATGTGTTTGTTTGATTGAAGAAAAGTAAATTTTTAGATGCTATGAAGTCACTGAAAAGTTCTGAATTACATGTAAAACTGAATTTACTTTCAGCATATAAAAATCAAATTAAGATGAAATTTTATAACATAATTTGAATTACTTTGTCATATCATTGTTCATTATTTCCAAAAATTGGGTTTCTGTTGCTTTGGTTATTGTGATTTGTTTTCCTTAAGCTATTGAATGGTAAAAAATTTTAGCACACAAAGAACATTGGTGATAAATCAACTTAAAACAAGTATGACACCAATTTAAAAAAAAGTTTTGATTATTTAAGCATGTAAAGCTGGAATATAGCAGAAAAGATACTTTTATTAAACTTAGATGACACAAAGTTGTTCAGTTTAAAAGTAAATAATTGTAGCCTTTTCTAACATTAAACATTTAATATTTGAGGATCAGTAAAAACTAAATAAATAAGTATATTGAGACAAAGTTTGATATCCTTTTTATTATTGAATGCCTCTGTGTCTTTTTAAAACTGCATGTTACTTATATGACTTTATAAAAGTATATTCACAAATCCAGTATATATACATACATACATTTATACATACATAAATGGGGAACAGAATGTAATGAAATTTAAAATTTTACAAAAATAAAAATACAAATGACCAAGAAGCTGCAAAATGTATTCTAGCTCATTAATAACTAAAGGCATGACAGTGTAAAATGGAAATTGATAAAAAGTTAATAATGCCCATATTGGTATGACTACTAATATGATATATGTGCATGATCACATATATAAAGTCTTAGAACTATAATAAATTGAGCTTTTTTGGAGATCAGCTTTACAATACATATCAGAAGCATTAAGGAGATGTTCATTTGTTTTTAAGTTAGCACTTCTGCTTTGAGAAATTTTTTCCAAGGATATAAATCAAGTATATAAAGATAAAACTAGCAGCATTGCCTGTAAAGCAAAATAATGAAAACACTCTAAATGTCTATTCTCAGGGAGTAGATTAAATAAAATGCATGTGCATAAATAAGTATTTTGTGTATTCACATAAATCTTGTATGTATGAAAAATGTTAGCAGTGGATATCTAAGGGATGGACAATGAGGAACTACAGAGGAACTTTGTATACCATGTACTTTTATGAACTTTTAGCAAACAGAAAAATTAGAAGAATATTTTTATTCTGGAAGAAGGATTTTATGATATAGGGAGCAAGGACATGCTAAGTGAAATAAGCAGAACACAAAAAGACATACTACATGATTACATTTATGCATACATCTATAGAAGTCATACTCAGAAAAAATAGAATGATGGTTCCCAGGCCTCGAAACCAAAAATGAATAAAATTGTTGTTTTATTTACTTTGTCACATAGTAAACTTGACATTTCTTAAATGTAAACATGTCACTTTCTTTTCCTGAGTATAAGTAATAGATACTTTTTTTTAGTCTCTCCTTATTTTTTCTTCTAGTTAAAAAACTACATGTGGTGGTGTTTGTATGAATTCACAAAAGAAATTCACAAATGTAACCATATGGTATTGTGCATATAAAAATATACAGTGATGCTTTTATTCTATAATTTCATTCTAACAATAACCACATTAAAGCATATTTAGCAAATTGTTTAATAGTGTGAAACATTGTTAATGTCAATTAAGTTCATTTGTTCAGTCATCAGTTAATAGTTTAATGAAATGAAAGCATCAAATTTAGTATGCCTGTTTTTTTCTTTTTAGACGGATTCCATTTCTAGGTATGCTTTACTTTTTTCTCATTTTTATCTTTTCTAGAAATATGTTGCTAATATTTATGTATTTTGTAAGTTTATAATGAGTTGGGCAATTTTTTAAAACCTATAGAAATTTAAATGACCCAGTCCCTATTATTAGCTTTTCTTTGTTAAAGGCTTTACTTTTAGTTTATTGGTCATAGTAAGTCACTATAAGGGAAGAAAGATTTTTCCCACATCTTTGCAATAGTGATACTTTTTTCAGAGTTTCCTAAGTTATTTCAGCTTTGACTGTTTCATTATTAACATCAGGGACTGATGAAATACACACTTATCCAAAAATTTATTTGGTTAGATATTTAGTATCTCTTCCCTTAACCCTGCTTTAGTAAAAGAAAATGAAGATATGTTTAAAAGTTTCATCTAACTCAAAATTACTGTCCATCAGTCTATTCTCAGTTTATTTCTCTTACCCATAATTGTTAACCAAAGCTCTATAAAAACAAGAATGTGTTTTATATATTGATGATTCTCTTAAATTAAAATGCAGAAACCATAGCATTTATCAGAAAAGGTAACCTGAATTCAGAATTAGATAATAAAAGGATTCACAATTAAAAGTAAAGATATATTCTTCCTGATTAGGGCAAACCCCACTATCTATCACTTTGGATACACTGTATTTTATCAAATCTAAGATGTTATTAATTTAAAACATCAGCATATGCCACTTACAAAGGAAAGGTGCTGCCATTTAAATTATGCTATCAATTAAAAGCCACATTTTGATGTCAGGGATGTTAAAATGTGGGAAAATACATAATTTGAAACTTTATAAATAGTTTATCAAATGTAAAACCAATCTCTGACTTTTGGATATAGAGATTTTGAATCTTCAAATAATATAAGTTAATAGTATTTTTAAAATCCCTTTATCAAAAATTGATAAGATAAATTAGGGAGACTATTTTGGAATATTGAATTAACAAATGCTAGAATGTATGTAATTTGTGAAAGAAAGCCTGTAATAAAGTTTTTGACTATAACCTATCTTTTGAAGATATGAAACCAGTTCCACTTCAGCTAGTGATCGGTATGATTCCTTGCTGGGTCGCTCCGGATCGTATAGTTACTTAGAAGAAAGAAAACCATATAGTAGCAGGCTAGAAAAGGATGACTCAACTGACTTTAAAAAGGTACTTGGGTTACTTATATTTTTAATTAAAAATAAATTATCTTTTGTGTTGAAAAATACATTTCAGTATTATTCTAGAAAACTTATATCTTGAAATAACTTTCATTTTTCGTTTTTGGTAAGTAATGGTAAATAGAATATAAATAGCTGTTTGTTTTTTAAAGGAAAGAGATAAATACCCAGTACTTTATTTTACATTTAAATGTCTCAAGCCATTACTGTGATTGAGCTAGAAAGGGGTATTCGGTAGTAAAGTATACATATGGTATATGTTCACACACTTTGTTTATTGATTTGTTAGCAGAAAGCAGCCACACAGAAAAATATGGCTTTTTTAAAGAGAATATAGTTTTTCTTAGTAACTAGAAACTTGTGATAGATCAGGTGTTATTAAGGACTAAGGATTAATTGATAAATAAATCCTAAAACCTCAGCAACCTATGGTTTCAAGTATTATTCACATTATAAGCTTGGAATAAAATTTATGAAGTTTATAGAGAAGGAAGGGTCTTGTGGTATTTGTACATTTTCCTATTATCTGACAACTATTTGAATTACGTATTTAATTTATAAGGCAAATGAGCAAGTGTATCAAGGGAGGAAGTTGTTTCCCATTATGAGTTTGATTCAGGCATTTATTTAATAAATAACTGAATACTCAAATTATGCTAACTGGTTAGATCTATAAGTGAGCAATGAAGATGGAGATAATGTACTGCTCTTATGGGCATATTCCATATAGGAGAGACAAACATCTTACAAATGAATTATAATTTAAAAATTGGACCAGTCACCCTGAACAACAGAAACAATTGGCTTATGCCTGTAATCCCAGCAGTTCAGGAGGCTGAGATAGGAAGATGGTGAGTTTGAAGCCAGCCTGAGCAAGGGCAAGGCACTAAGCAATTCAGTGAGACCCTGTCTCTAAATAAGATACAAAGTAGAGCTGGGGAGGTGGCTCAGTAGTTGAGTGCCCCAGAGTTCAATTCCTGGTACAAAAAAAAAATTATAAAAGTGTATAACAAATGAAAGTGGTGGGATATATGAATGGGTTTCTTAAGAAAACGAGGCTTCAGGTAAGAAAAGAAGGTTGATTAGTTGTTAATGAGCAAAAATGGGAGAGAAAATGTCCAGATGAAGTGAACTGTAAGCATATAGACATTGTGGTACAAGGATACATGATACATTGAAATAATTAAATGTTGATGTATAGGCTGAAACCAGTGTTTTATTATAGACCATTTTAAAGTTATCTGTATGCTAAAAATATTGGAAAGCCTTCATGGGTTCTTAATTTGTGTGTGTTTGGGAGGAAGGGGTGACAAAACTGTTGGCTTAAGAAAATGAGAGATTTTTATTTTGAAAAGTTAAACTTTGTTTTTATGTATACAACAGATTAGAGGGAGGAGTATAATCTGTATAAGAAGTGATATTAGTCAGAATTACCATGGAAGAAGTAGAGATAGAGGGGAAAAAAGTATATTCAAGCGTTAAGAGGACAAAATCATCAGAAAAGGGAAATGTCTTGAATTTTACCAAATGAAATTTGGATTTAAACATTAGAAAAAATATTTTGCTTGCCTTTTAATTTTAAGTCATAGAAGTAAAATGATTAATGTAACTGACACTATCACCTCCTTTGTAGAAATTTAGGAGGGTGAAATAGGCAGAAAACGCATAAGAAGAGAAAAATAATTTGTTCTCCCCTATTTTTATAGCTTTATGAACAAATTTTAGCTGAAAATGAAAAGTTGAAGGCACAGCTACATGATACAAATATGGAATTAACAGATCTTAAATTGCAGTTGGAAAAGGCCACCCAGGTTTGTACCCTTTTCTCTTTGTTAGTCTCAAATTACATTAAAATTTTCCCTGGTATATCTCTGTCATCTCTACAGAATCATCCTATAGCCTTTTTGTTGTTGTTGTTGTTGACCAGACTCTGGACTGTGTAAATGCTAGGCAAGTATTCTACACCTGCTTATACCCCCATTCCTCAAAATTTCTTTATAAAAATTTTTATGAATATTTCTGTTTATTCAAGTAAAAGTGACTAGAGGTAATAGTGCTAGATCATTTTAACTTCTTTTGTAACTTCCCTTCTGTGTAACAGCCTAGAGAAGACAGACAATTTTGGACACTACAGTTGAGATAGCTAAGCAAAACTCAAATTGTTTTCCAATTTCTTTTCTGTGGTATATATTAATAGTTACAGTATATAGTAATACACGTATCTCCTCCTCAGCCTCTTCCTTTCCCAAAACAAGAAAAAAAAATTGTGTTCAAATAACCTTAGGAATGCTACATATTTTTTATCTTGGAGATTAGACAGGATCTATTTATATGTTAAAGACTAAGAGTTCTATAATTTTGAAGAACATACATTTGCTTAATTTTAGCATGTTACTTTATAGCATAAGCATATTTCTGCATTTAGAATTCATCTTGAAAGCAGTGATCTAAATAGCACTGATCTACGAGTGGACAGAATACTTCTTTTTGGTCAGTCTTTTATATTGACGTTTTTCTTAATTTCTAAAAATTTAGTCTCTGTGTTTGACTTATACTTGTTACTAGGTCCTTTTTTTATTTTTTAACCACTGTTGTGTTGTAAAGCAATTGTTTATGCACAGTGCATGCTATGCTAAAATTCAGGGGTCATGCTCATGAGGTTGAAAAGATTCCTCAGATTCTTTCAGTTAATTGGGGTTTAATAAGAGGATGCACAAAAAAGTAAGAACAAGAACACATTTCATAGTAAGTTGTCATAATAACTTGAAATGTCATACAATTTAAAACCTCTAGGCTGGAGGTGCTGCTCAGTGGTAGAACGTGTGCTTAGCATTCATGAGTCCCTGGATTCAATTGGTAGCACCAAAAATAGGAAAGCTACAGCATGTGGTTTAAGTACAAATGTCTGATTCTTCTAAAGCCAGAGAAACAAGTCACTGGGTTTTTAAAGTAAAACAACAAGTTAAACTGTTAAGCATTGAAGTGAACATTTTTGTCCAACTTTAGAACATTTGTCCTGAGAATTGAAGTCTACCAGGAATTCTTCCACCTGATATGTTTTATTATTCTTTTCATGACTATTCATAAATATACATAGCAGTAGCAGTTTGATAGTCATATGGAATGTTTCCCAGGGAACTATCATCCTGCTTAGAATTAATCCTTAGGGGGACCTTTATATACTAGCAGTGGAAATGTAAATTAGTACAGCCATTATGGAAATCAGTATGGAGGTTCCTTGAAAAAACTGAAAATGGAACTACCATATGATCCAGCTATACCATTCCTTGCTGTTTATCTGAAAGGATTAAATTGAAGTCAGGATATCTTAGAGACACATGCATTCCCATGTTTATGGCAGCCCAGTTCACAATTACCAAGTTATGGAACCAGCTTGGATATCTCTTAACAGGTAAATGGATAAAGTATATACATGTTAAATAACGCTAATAAATCAATGGAGTTTTTTATTCAGCTATAAAGAAGAATGAAATTGTCATTTGCAGAAAAGTGGATGAAACCGGAGAGCATTATGTTAAGCTGAATAAGCCAAACTCAGAAAAACAACTGTTATTTTCTCACATATGTAGAAACCAAAGGGAAAAGGGGGATCTCATGAAAATGAAGGAAGAGTGTTAGTTTATTGGGAAAGGGGGTTGAAGTTGATTTAATTTTGTTATGTACATTAATGAATATGCCACAATAAAACCCAGCTATTCTGTATAATTAACATGCACCAATATTTACCAAAAAAAGAATCCTTAGTATGCTTGAAGTCCTGGGTTCAATCCCTGGCACCACAATTTAAAAAAAAAGAAAAAAAAAAAAAGAAAATCTTGAAATTTAGGTCTGTTTGATAGCATTTAGCAAGAAGCCCAGAATTCTTAAATCCTGCCCTAAATGAGCATTGTCTACCCTGTACAGTCTCCAATGGAAATAAATAGGCCAATTTATCAAAACCAGTTGGCTGTATACATGCCAGATGACAAGTTCACCAGATTACTAATTGGGATTTTAAAAGCTAGAACTAGCATGTGTAACTAAAAGCAGTAACTAAATAAAAATGTTAACTAAATCTTTTTTTTTTTTTTTTTTTGGTGGTGGTGGTGGGGGACTGGGGATTGAATTTAGGGGCACTCAACCACTGAGCCACAACCCCAGCCCTATTTTGTTATTTTATTTAAGAGACAGGGTCTCACTGAGTTGCCTAGCACCTCAATTTTGCTGAGGCTGGCTTTGAACTCGCAATCCTCATGCCTCAGCTTCCCGAGCTGCTGGGATTATAGGCATACACTACCGCGCCTGGGTTTTTTTTTTTGTTTTGTTTTTTTTTTTAATCTATGAAATTGGCAAACAAATCACAAAATACTACAATGTTCCCATTTGGGGAAAAAAGATTCCCAGTGAAATGCCTTTTTTTTTTAAATTTTTAAAATCATTGAAATGCCATTTTTCATCTAAAATTATAAATTTACATACAATGGCATAATGCTATTTCTGATCTTTTTCATCTAATTTTAAATTGTTTCAGTCTTAAGTATTTTATGATTCATTTGTAGATCTCATATGGCATATCACCCTTTTGTTGTATATTTCTAGCAAATAAACATTTTAAATTAAAAACTGCCAAAAATCAGAATTAGCTGAAATAGTTCTACTCATATTTGAAATTATGGATTGAATTTCTAAAAAAAGAAACAATATATCAATTTTTGCTTTTCCAAAAAGAGTAAGTGTAAAAATATAAAACCATTTAAAATAACAGACAAAAGTAAAGATATGTGGGATTATGCATGATGAGTTCTTTAAATTTTTGTACTATAACAATAAATAAGAAATTCTGAAAGAAGATTTAAAAAGTAACTGTTACAGGTCCTAAAGATATTAAAACATGAATGCAGAAAGGCATAGCAAAAAAAAAAAGGCTTTTTTTTTTTTTTTTAATTACCACATTAGGGCTAGGAATGTGGCTCAATGAGAAGCCCTGGGTTCAATCCCCAATATGGCAATAAACGGAAAATGGAAAGAGAAAAATATAAAATTACCATAGTAAACAGTGAAAATTTGTGCTTAATTAATGATGAGCTGTCTTTAAAGTACATTTGTGTTCAGTAGCCATAAGAGACCATTCTTGTTAAAGTTGTCCAGAAACATTTTTGGTAAATTAATAAAACTGGATTTTCAGAAAATTGTCTTTTGAGGAGTGAGCCATTTGTTGAATTTATTTCAGCAAATTGACTAGGAGTCCCAAGGGTCTGTGTAGAGGTCAAAGTAAATATGATCTTAGATTCCATTTGCTTTTAACTGAGCCTGTGCTCGTTATCCAGATTAGAGCTCTTGAATACAGGGTGTAGCATATGACTTAAAATCTGAAGGTCCTTTATATACCCCTACAACCAAGCTCACATCTCAGGATTTAATCAACTTTGGGCTGGTTGCATAGTACATCAAGTGAAAAAACAAGAGACCTGACCTCCTCAGAAGAAAGTCTATATAGCTAGAATTTTTTACAAGTGAAAATTTATGAACCCTTTTACCAGTTCTGGAGCATGTTTGGAAAAGAAAAATAGAAGGAGTGAGCAAGACTACGATACATATGAGGAGGACAGAAAGACAAGTTTGCTGGCCTGGCTGCACGTATAGTGCCTACTCGGTTGGGTAATATTTCATTCAAGGTTCTAGAATCTGGCCATTCATATTAGTCAATGCTAATGGTGCAAGAAAGAAGAGAATTTGAGCATCTGAGGGAAAACTAAGATGGTTTCATTTTTATTCTATAATACTCGCCAATCTTTAGCCCCAACTAAACTATGAAAAGTATGGAAAATTATATAGGCCATAAAATTAGAGCCAAGGAAATGATTCCATTACTTTTTATTCTTTTATTCTTTATGGTTTTCAATACAAATCTTGTTTTCTTCACTCACATCTGCATGTTACACCACCTAAATATTGTAATTTCTTTAAATACTTAAAGGAGGGTTGCTGTGCCTCCCCATCTTAATTGCACTTACAACCCCTTTACAATCTAACTGCTTGCTTTGTTGCAGAGACAAGAAAGATTTGCTGATAGGTCACTATTGGAAATGGAAAAAAGGGTAAGTGTCTATCTCATTGACTAAGAAATTATTTTCCTTCTTAACTGTTTTATATAAGCAGAGTTAGGGTTTTTTGTTTTGTTTTATGGATAGTTTTAGCTAGCTTAAATTAATATTACCTGAATAAATATATAGCTGTGAGGCCTCTAGTATAAAATGGCCTTAATTAAAATTTAGTATACCACATTATTCTCTTAATGAATTATTTTTAAAACATTCTTTCCCCAGTACCAAAATCTATAAATTGTGATAGTGAAATCTGATATTTTTAAAATGCTATTTATCTTTATGTACATAATGTATATTGCTTCATATATATACATACATTTTAATCATATATTTGTTTCCAATTTTTTAAATTAAAATTTTTTTTAACTTTTTTTTTTTTGGCAGTTGTAGATGGACAGAATACCTTTATTTTATTTTTTAATTTTTATTTGCTGCCGAGGATCAAACCCCTTGCCTCACGCATGCTAGGCAAGCAGCTCTGCCTGTGAGCTACAGCCCCAGCCCAAATACTTCATTCTTGCAATAAAATTTTTTAAGTCTGGAGTCATCAAATTTTCACATTCTTTTGAAACTTAATGCTATTTTAATTTTGAGTTTAAATATTTATCTTAACCTATTTTAAACAAGAAAATATTGATTTCAAGGAGATTCTTATGCTTTTTATGCCTTTCTACAATTTTTTTTTATTGGCTGTGATATATTCATTTAAATACACTCCACTTAATATTGCTCAGTGGTCTGGAAATGGCCATAGAAGTAAATCTACAAGTTTAATCTGAGTAGTTGAAAATTTATACATGATCCAAAAGCTAAAGGAAAAGTTCTTAAAGAGTATCTGTAGTGCAAGTGAGTAGTGCCTACACTTGTGGGGTTTTAAAAAAGAAATTGTGTCTTGGTAGCATTGCTCTTTAGGCCAAAGAATAATCAGAATTGATATCACATTTTTCTTTCATTTTTAAAAAATAACCAATTTGCCTTTTTCACCCAAAAGTAAAATAAACAAACCAACAAATACAGTTTGTTAATGTGGCCTTTACTAAATTGTACTTTGCAATAATTTTCTTTTTATTATTATTGGAGCAAGGTTTAAAAATAAGTGTAATAAGTCATTTTTAATTGGTATAATTAATACTTGTTTAAAACAGAATCACTTATTAAATTATTGTATATTGTTTATATACCATACATTATTTTTATAATATATCTCATTGAATTTGTTTCAAAGATACACAGAAATAATAAAATCATTTCTCTATTAATCATTACTAATGGTTGAAATGAAAGATATGTAACAAAATATACTTAATCAAAATATGTATTTATATTTGAGACAGTCACATTTTTAAGAATATTTAATTTTTTATGAAAGTAATGTGCTTATTACAAAATTTTAGCAAAAGAAGAAAATATAAAAATCATCCATAATCTTATCAGAGAAAGTTAATATTTTGGTATACCTACCCTTGTGATTATGCTTGTGATCTGACATTCTCACTGACCTTTTTTTTCTGCTTGTCAAATGCAGATAAAGTAGTTAATCCTTTCTTAATTTAATAGATATTTATCATGATCGTAACTGCTGACATTTGTTTGGCATTCTCTAAGTCAAGACAGGCTTAAGATTAAGCAATTTACTTTTGTTTTAATATGTTTGTCCAACAAAAATGTGTTGCCTGCAGTTTTATGATTGTGAATTCCATTGAGCCAACAGGATCAGTCAATTAGGTGTAATGTTCTTTTTTTGCTCTACCAGTAAGTTAAAATCTTTAAGACACATAATAAAATTGAGGCTCATGGGGAGATTACCTGTCAGAAGGTAATCTATTTCACAAAATTATGAAGATCAAATAAGATACAATACAAATAGTACTTGGAGAAGTACAGCGGTTTATGTGTATTTGTCCTGGCTATGTTATCTAGGAGAAAGAAATATGTAGAAAATAACATTTTTGTCTGTGATGTTTAAGCATGTAAATATTAGAATAACAGTACTTTTAAGTAGAAGTGAGATTCTATTATTTTTTAAGTCACATATCCTAAAAACATTGACATTTACAGTAAATGTTCTGCATTACTAAATATCAAATTATTAATCTTGGAAAGAATGTCTTGGAAAGAGTTTTCAGTATGATTAAACTAAATGTAAATGGTTTATATCTGAAAGGTGACCGGCAAGAGTCAGTATCTTCTGGGCGGTATGACCTAACCAGTTTTACAGCTCGTCAATTACTGCTGCTTGCTTTTTGCATAACACCCTAGAATGCTTATCATTTAAGGGAAAATAAAACAGTACACTGCAATAATATATTGTATGTTGGCTTTGCCTGTCACTCTATGAAACAAGTTTAAAATAGATTGCTGCAGTTGCTTCTCCATTAGATTCACCGCATTAATGCTACCACAGTTTCAACCTATATGTAAAGTCAATTGGATAAATAATGAATAGTAAACATGTTTGGAGATCTCTTAGATCCTTTTGAAATTATGAAGTACACATATTTTAGGCATGTTTGCTTATCGCTTTTCTGCTTCTATCACTAGTAAAATTGCATCTTTGTGTGTTTTTGTTTTGTTTTGTTTTCTGTTTGGGAATTTTTTTTTTCATATACAGGTTTTGAGTGTTGGCTTATTCTATCCCTAAGTTTTATGTTAACTAAAAAAATAGTCTGGACACCTTACGTATCATCTTACCAGAAAGTCAAAGCTTTTAAAAAAGAGAGAGAGAGAGAGAGAGCTTATAAAAAGTATTGAAAAAATAAATGTCTTCAAATTTATTTCTCTCAAATTTTGGGATGCTCTTCACACATCACTGGCATCACATCTCTTTCTACACTGCTCCTGATTTTTATCTTTAATTTTAAAGTATCACTACTTCACACTATAGAAGAAAACTCAAGGATATAATAATTACATAATTAATATTGGTACCTTAAATTGATCTAGGAACGAAGAGCTCTAGAAAGAAGAATATCTGAAATGGAAGAAGAACTCAAAGTAAGTAAACCACACTACTTATTAGAGATAGTGCTCTTTTGAATTTTAATATTATACTATTATAGATACTGTAATTGTTTTCAAAACTGATTAACCAATTTGTGAATTATCTATACCATGTGCTTCTGTTTTCCTAAATTCTGGTATTAGTGAGCTAGAGGAGGATTTAAAACCTAAATCATTTAAAAAATCAATTTGTATAGCACTTTTGATATTTAGGGTTTTTTTTTTAATGGATGATATTAACTGTAATATGTGGGGTTTATTAGTTCTTTACTTTTCCATATGTTTCTTGGAGAGTAAATGGTAGAGGGAGGTAATATAAGACAGAATGTTCTCCTTCAAAATAAATGACATGAGAAGGGATGGGCAGGTAGAAGCATATTTTAATACCTATGGAAGTAATTATTTATTTTGAACATTGAACTCTGTAGGAGGAAAAATAAAAGCATAGCTAGATGTTGACCTATTATTACGTTATGAATTAATGAATAATGCATAGGAAATTATGCCCATAGAATTAGAATATCAAGATTTAAATGTTTTATTGGATTGTTTAGTTGGTTGTTAGACCATTATTAAATGACTTTGAACACTGGAGAAAATCTTTTGGTTTTTATTTGCTTATTCATTTAGTTTGACATGGAATTTCAGAATACATTTCTTACCTTTTTAAATCTGTTAAAATATTGGTTTTAGACTTTTCTTGTATTCATTATCTGTTATTCTTTATGCTCATGTATTTTCCATTTTCTTATTTTTTATTCTTATTTCTTTATGTTCTGATTCCTACAGAACCTGCACCAAATAAAGCAAATTCAAACTCTGAGAGAGTTAAATGAGCGACTGCTGACTGAGAATAGGGCCTTGACAAGAGTGGTAGCCAAGCGCTCAGGGTTCTGTAGGCAACTTCAGTCTGTGAACCTTTAACTTATAGTTTCATCATTTCTTCTTGGTAGAGCCAGGCAGGTGCTTTCATATTAGTAAGCGTGTTTTTGTAAGAGCTCACTTTTACAAATTAATGCCATTGTGTCTGGAGCTTATCATGTAACTGTTTAATTATGCATGGCTTCTCAGAATGTCAGAAAATATCACTAATTGTATATTACAGCTGATAAACTACAGTAAAGCTAAGAATTGGGTACTTTGTAAAGTTTATGCACATTTTTTAGTCTAAAAAAATATTTTACATCTTAAAATACAGCTAATTTTTATAGTCCTACTAGAAAGAAAATGGAATATAAACAATAAAACATTTTATATATGATTAATATATTTTGAGAATCTGAAGATTAAGCCTACATGTTTTTTAAAATAATGTCATTTTCAGTCAGAATCCTTTTTGTTTACATCTTAATGTGTAAACTTCATATTACTATATATCTATACATTCTGAACACAAGAATTAATTGATTCCAATAAAATTAGATTCTTCCTAAAGTCTTGGCCTAAGATAGAAGTAGAAACTTTATTTTTATCTAATTAGACTATATAGTACACTTTGAAAACTGAGGAAAGAGAACTAAGTATTTTGGAAAGAATATCCAAAATATGCTAAATCCATTTCCTAGTTGACTTTACAGACACATAATTTCAATTATTCTTAGTAGAAAATTTATTTAATCTATAACATTTCTATCCCCTGCTTTAATTTGTAAAACTACAGAAAATCAAATTGCTATGTTTCAAAGATATGAGTGTGTTTTTCTGTTTGCTTCAAACACTTTGTTACTTTTTATGAGTGAATGTTTTCAAAGATCTGCATTTACTACTTGGACTTAATTGTTTTAATAGCCAGGTACAGTAGCACATGCCTATAATTCCAGCCACTCAGGAGGCTGAAGCAGGAGGATCACAAGTTCAAAGCCAGCTGCAGTAATTTATCAAGGCCCTAAGCAACTTAGCAGGACCCTGCTTCAAAAATAAAAAGGATGGGGGATATGACTCAGTGGTTGAGTGTCCCTGGGTTCAATCCTTGGTACAAAAATAATGTATTTTTTTAAATTTTAATAATAGTAATAGTTGCCATTCATTGAGCACCTGTCTTTAATCAGACACTAAGAACAAGTCTTGGGGTTGGAGTTATAGCTCAGTTGGTAGAGTGCTTGTCTTGCAAGCACAAGGCCCTGGGTTCAATCCCCAGCACCAAAAAAAAACAAGTCTTGCCCTATGAGGTAGCGCATGGCTGTAATCCCAGCAGCTAATGCAAGAGGATCATGAGTTGAAAGCGTGAAATCAAACCTCAACAACTTAGGCCCTAAACAACTCAGAGAGATCCTGTCTCTAAATAAAATATTAAAAAGGCTGGAGATGTGGCTCAGTGGTTAAAGTGTCCCTGGGTTTAATCCCCAATTAAAAAAAAAAAAAAAAAAGAAGTCTAATTCTTACCTCAACACTTTACTAGATAGGCTGGTTTTCATGTGGAACAATAATATTATGATTTTAAGTCTAGCTTAAAGCAAAAGGCTTTGGTTTAGGTGTTGAAAGGAACCCCCTTGAAGAGCCTATCCTAACAAAAACAGGCTTCTGGCTGCTCTAATATGGTGTGCTTGTGAGTCATAAAATCAAGTAATTTAGTAAATTTCTGTGGATAAGAGAATAAATCTTTTATTCCATCATTTATTAAACCAATTAGCTTCATAAATCAGGATTTTTTTGATATATGTTTTAGATGTAGAAATATATGTAACTGGCAAAAGCTTGATATCATGCGTTTGTGGTGTAAGTATAACATTTATTAAGATTTTTATCTTTTTGTTGAAGTAAAACTTTTCTTTCTGTTTTTCCTCTCATAGATGTTACCAGACCTGAAAGCAGACAACCAGAGACTAAAGGATGAAAATGGGGCCTTGATCAGAGTTATAAGCAAACTTTCCAAATAGAAAACAAACGAACAACACAGCAGGAATTGCACATATTAATAACCCAGTGGACCATAATTGGCAGTCACTGGAAGCCTGGGAAGAATCCTTTGGAGACTGTCATTTTTGGATATCCTGCCAAATGCCCTCTTATCTAGGATTTTTGTTTTGTTTAAGTTTCTGGGTTTTGTTTTGTTTTTTTTTTTGTTTTGTTTTTTTTTGTTTTTTTTTTAATCAAGACCATTGTTTCATGTTAATGCAGCTGCTGAGAAGTTTTGGGGATTTTTGGATTTTTTTTTTCTTTAAATGACTGAGAAAACTTGTTTACAGCTCCAGCATATAAGGAAAGTGTTCAAGGCCAGATATGCCTCAGATATTTAACCAGTAAGCCTTAGTTGTACATAAATACTTTTGTGTCAACAAAAACTTTCAGCTCTCACAGAAGACAGTTATTCAACATTTTTCCATGTGCCACGTTTCCAGTTTTTTAATATTTAATTTTTTTGCTTTACTCTAAGTTTGGGTTTGTATTTTTTCCTTCTAACTCTTCATGTGGCAGAGTCTTCTATGTTTTCCCAGCTTTCTTATTCATGGAAGAGAATATTTGCCCTTCTGAGATTATTGTCATGTGTTAGGCTAATGTGTTGTCTCCCACCTGGAACTGAATTGCTTGGTGGAACATTTGCTTTCACTGTTTGTGCAATATGCATTTATTTCTTATATGAATGCTTTAAGTCAGTTGAGATTAGATCTTTTAAGTTCTATTTTCTGCCTTCTATTGGTCACTTTTTGTTTTTGTTTTTTATTGTAGTATGTTAGATTCTGTAATCTTCACATTCATTTTAGCAGGTACTGAGTGATGCTGTAAATATAAATAAGTGTATTGTTTTGATTTTTAGAACACCACATGGCATGCTTGACTATTTTCTTATTTCAGATGTCTGTTAATGCAAAGTAGGCTACTCCATGATAGTGTTAAAAACAAAATGTGCTAACAATGTGATATAAAGACTTTAAAAGTTATACATTATGTGGAGCCCTATCTTTACAGAAATTTTCTACTGTAAAGTGCTTTTACTTTTATTTTCAGTTTTCATTTTCTAGTATTCCAACATAATTAAAATTGCATAAGATAATTGCTTCACATTTCACATACCTATATTTATCTGAGTGCTGTCTAAAACTGTTGTGCTAGCCAAAGTAATGCTATGAAATCATTTGTAGACTTAACCCGTGAGTTAATGTTAAATGCACTGTTTTTGCCATGTGAAGAGGCATTGACTTTAATACCACCATCATGTTCAGACCATTTTATACATTTCAGTGGCCTTTTTCTAGGGGGAAAAAAAAAAAAGCAAAACCAATTACATAGTGAAGATGGCTTTTATTTGGACAAATAGCTTTTATATTTTCATTAAATCATGCAAAAATATTACATCTTTCTGGCACATAACTGTCTCTTTAACCACTGAACAGTTCAGCCATTTGAATAAATTGTACATTGTAAAGCTTATTGTAGCTGATTGTATTATTCAGTGTATTGTATACTATATTAAATGTGAATTTGTACCTCTTCATTTTAAAAGGTCATTGTGTTCTACTGCCTATTTTAGATTACTTTGGGGTTGGGGAAGGGTATTTTGGTAAGCAGGATTTCAAGTCCTCTCTCTTGATGGTTTTATGAAGATATAAGGTTATGCTCTTACTACCAAGCTCAGGATTCTTGATTTTAAAGGTACAAGGATAGTTGTGGAATTTTATTTTTGGTTATATTTGAACTGTATGAATGGTGGGTCTGAATATAGAGAATTTTCATGGTCATGGTCTAATGTGGAGGTAAAATATACAGTAATTGATCAGTTTGAGTGACTGCAACATGTTCTGGTTGCACAACAGTTAGGCATGCTRTGGTTTATATTTGTGAAGTTTGGATGCCTGTGAAGAATGATTAAATACATGTTTCTAATATTTTAGTGTTTTGTATTTAGGTTATTTATTCTTTGTATCTAAAATTGAACAGCTACTGTGCTATATTGATTTTATTGGTAGTATTGAGCAGACCTTGTTTCTGCATGAAACTAGTTGCAAAACTCACTACATTGGAAATAAAAATGTATTTTGACATATACAAATAAAATGAATAAAACTATTTTAAATGTGTGAACTTTTAATGAAGACATTTTAAATTTTGTTCTGAGATATTTAAATTCTGCATGGGTATTTTTTCACTAATTGCTTTACTTGGATACCAATTTGAATAATTTTTGAAATTGTAATATTGTGATAATTTGCACAGCATTGTACATGCACATCTGTAATTGCAATCTTAATTGCCATATTTATGCAATCTGTGTACCAATTTGGACAAATGTTTATATATTTTACATAAAGCTGTCTGTATGCAGAATCTGAGAACTAGTTTTTTTATGATAAGTGGATAAAAAGTAATGGTAACAGTGAGTTTCAAAATAGTTGTTTTGTAGCACAAGATTTCATTTCCATAAACATTTTGTGGTTTTTAAAAATTAAACCTGTGCTTTTTTTTCCCTTAGCTGCAAACATAGATTTGTAGTACATATGAAGATAATATTCCATTGAAATAAAATTTTACCTTTTTAATATTAGATCATTCTTCAACTTAGATTTGTCCAAGGTTCAATCTATTAACAGTCTAAAGTTAAAACTTTGATTTTTGGTATTGGCATTCTGATACAAGACTTGTAATAAGACTGTATTTAACTAAATTATTGAATTATTTTCTTTCTACTTTAGTACTTTTGCCTGTTTATGCTTACAGAATTGTTGATGTTATTGTAACTTGTTTTCCCCTCAAAAAAACTTGTCATGTGCAAAAGCTTGAAAAGTAGCTGTAAAACTATCACCGAGAGTTCATTTGAAAAAGTAAAGTAGGTTTTAGGCTACTGTATTCATTGCCTAAAAGTTTATTACCCCTTAGTCCTTCCTTGCTTATCTGAGATAGTCATGACTCCCAATGCCAGCACAAGAAGAAAAATATCCAGTAAGCCAAATTCTTCTCTAAACTAGGACCATATTTTCCATAAGGCATAAATAGCTTTGTAGACTTTACTTCTATCATTATAAGCAGAATACAGAGCAAACTCCACTAACAATTATTAACTACCCATTAGCCTATCTTGTTAATGAAAACCTTTGTTGCCAAGATGAGAGCTGATTGATAGTCTTTGCTGTTCTGTTTTCTGTGTGTGGTCTCTGTGTGTCTGAGTACGCACGTTCGGCAGGGGTAATTACACGTAAATACTGCTGTCCAAAAAATATTGGGTTTAGAATAAAATATTATTTATTTTCTTATTATATGTCTCTTAATACTAAATCTATTTGAATTTCGTTTTGGAAAACCTCTGAGTAATTACTATATAAATAACAATGTTTTCTTCTTACGTGACAGTCATATTAATGTTCAATGTCTACAAAATAGATTGCAAGTACTAAATTAAAATAAAAACATAGGAACAAGTAACATAATGTTCTATTTCTATAATGTAACAAGAGTATCTAATGCATAATTTATCTGTAATTTGAATTTTTATTAAAACTTTACTATAGTTTACTAGAAAGAAGGCCTTGAGTCAGACTAACTCAAAATGTCACTGCTTAAATTCCAATAAATATCTGGGTCACATAATTAACTGGATTTTTATTTTTTAAAAAACAAATTAGAAGAAAAGGTAGGCATGTACTTAGTGCTTATAGATCTGGGAGAATAGTAGTAGGAAAGAGATGAGATTTACCTTCCTTTTCTCACAGTTTTTTTATGGGTTTGTTTTGATACTGAATCTGTTTCAGTAGCTTATCATTTGATTCTTAAAACAGGCTGGGTAAATAAGAGCATATCTCCACTTTACAATGAGAAAATTAAGGTTTACAGGTTACAAATTAGGTTAGCTCCCCAAAACTGATACAATACAGAGCTCTTCCCAAAACTTAAATGTGGTTGTTCCTATTTTCCCCCACTCAAGATCTGAGACTTTTTTTTTTCTTTTTTTTTTTTTATTGGTTGTTCAAAACCTTACAAAGCTCTTGACATATCATATTTCAAACATTAGTTTCAAGTGAGTTATGAACTCCCATTTTTACCCCAAATA